TTATTCAAAAAGTCATCTTTTGTTTATGTTCTTTCTAGTAGTTTAGCAGTAAATATAAAATTCATTTACTTTTATTCGTCGACTATTTAAAATTGGCAGTGGCTGCATTGTCATGTCAACGCCGGACGTCTAAGATTGTGATATACACAAATGCAGTGTCATATCCTAGTCTCATAATTTGATATACCTACATAATTCACAGAAACCCAATATGTAGATGCCAGAAGTTAACTTCAAATGTTTTTAATCAGCCTATATACAATACCAATCAATCACGTTTATGTCGCAGGTTGAAGAAAGAAGTAATTCCCGTCTGTTGTTTTGGACAATGGTGGCAACTGCCTTAGATCACTAAATTAAATAATTATGCAATCACCAAAGCAAAGTTTATAATATTTGATTAAAGTAAAGGCTCATAATAAAATTTTCATAACGTTAGGTAGAGCACCATAGCAATCTCATTTATTATCAATTTATTCAAGCGTACACATTTAACAGGTCAAAGACTTTGTGTTCGGTAGTGTAAGGCTCGAATGAAGAGTACTCCCAGTAGTGCAATCATGGCAATTATTTTCCATTTTTTTTTTGTTATAAAAATACCGAATAACGTATCACTGTTAAGCACAAATGCTAAGTAACTTTTACAAATATAATCAAATAAACCTATTACTTTATTTTTAAATCTTTTTCAGCAATTAAATACTTATCTTATCCTAACTATCTATACTAATATTATAAAGAGGCAAGATTTGTATGTTTGTAACAAAGAATCTGTCAAACTACTGAACCGGTTTCAAATATTAATTCATCATAAGGTAGCTACATTATTAATTATAACATTTTTCTTTATTTAAATACATTTTGTCCGAGTGACATAGGCTATATTATATCCCGATAAATAAATTTCGCCCGTACAATGCCCGGGTGGATCACTAGTAAGTATAATACAATACTATAGATGCGAAAGTGAGTTTGTTTGTTGCGCTTCCGTGCCCTAATAGCTAAATCGAATATAATGAATTCCCATATAGAAGTAGATTGGAACTTGGTACTTAGCTACAACATCGCAATACTTATAGGCGTAGGGTGATGAAAGGGGTGATTTACCTATAAAAATCTACATTATTTAATAATATTCTGATTAATAAATACAGCTATTCCAATAAGTATATACTTAATAGCGAAAAATGGGTTATTTGTCATTATAATACGTAAACTTTTTTTGTAACCTTAAGTAATATCGTTAAAAAAATGAAAAACAGTAAAATTCTGAGTTTTTCATTAAAATTCAATAATTATAAATACCTATTATGATAATATATTTTTCATCATTTAATAAGAAGGAACTGTATCACAGTTTCAATGTTAGTACTTTGTATAGGATCAGATACTGCGAATACCCCATTTTTTTTTCTTTTACATTGTACACCGCGCTATCACTTTGTCATCGTTGTAACTTTTTAAATATTTGTCGAAATGACATTGTGTAAAAAACAAAGTTTATCGTCTTTAAATATCAAAAGCGATTAAAGTATTTGTTTTGATAAAAAATGATTTGTTAATACAAAATGTGCATTTTGGAAATAGATATCAAAAAATATTTTAGTTTTGATTCACTATTTTAGCGGTAATGACTTACACATTAAAAATAGATATATGGTGTCACGAACTTTTTTTTAGAACTATTTAAGACATACATTTTCACTCTACATTACATTCATGTAACTTTTATTGTTTTTGCAGTGCAGGCCAAAATGGCTCGCAGATGGGACATTTTTTCCCGTCTTATGTGACACTTATTGCTATATATTGGCCAATTCACTCAATAACTACATAAATTATTATATATATGTAATTATCGTATATGAGCTATATTACTGTTAAGTTTCATTAAAATCCATTCAGTATTTTTTAGGTGAAAGAGTAACAAAGATCCATACAAACGTAAGATTGAAATTAAAAGCGTAAGTGGTTAATATACAACTTTAAAGCATTGTAGATCCTAAACAATCATATAAAATGAAAAATGGTGTTAGGAACCTAAATATGATTTTTGATTATCTAGACAGTGATACCCCATTCGACATATTTTGTCAACTTATTTTTTTTACTTCGTCACAATATGGCGCCTAATTTCGCCCATATTGAATTTTGATTACTATCATATCTTTAGTAGCACTCCCATGATTGAGACGAATCGATTGATGTATGAATCATCAAAATCGGTCCAGGCGTTTGGTCTCTAGTGTGCCACAAAGGAACAAACATACATATATAGACTGTTAAACACATAACCCTGTCTGCGCGTCGCGCTTCGCGCTCTTGCATTGCGCAGCCGGGTAAAAAATCATAATGTTACATTAAAAAGACCCGAAACTGTATCTATTCCCGAACGTTCAACGCATTATATTACTACTAAATCGAAGAGAAGTGCTAAAGCAAATAGTTTACGTTGAAACGTGAAATTTTGAAATCAATCAGGTCACACTGGTCATCTTTACTCTCGATGAAAAAGTTTTGGAAACATTGTTTTTTTTTGTTTACCTTTTGGCACAAAGGAAGTCCAATAGAGGTTGAATAAACTAGATAGTTAGTTACTCACGGTGCGGCACGTAATCGTGGTCGTCTCCTCCCAAGTTGTTGCTCCTGTTGTCCATCTCCACCTCGCTGCCGTGTCGCGTGCGCGTCGTGGTGGTAGGGGATGGTAGCGTGGGCCGCGTGGGCAGCGTGGGCCGCGTGGGCAGCGTGGGCCGCGTGGGTAGCGTGGGCAGAGTGTGTGGGGTGCAGTCGGCATCGACGCATGCGCGACGCTGGCAGCGCTCCCCGCTCCACCCGGGTGAACACTCGCACCACACGGCCGAGCCCGACACTTGGCATGTGCCCTGAACGATATTCATGTGATTTAGTCAAAATCAATATAGGTACACTCGCGGTAAGACCCGCTCTGTCACCCATAATGCCATAATCGCTTGCGGTAGCGGCGTAGTAAAAATTCATAGTATAGCGCTGTCGCGATCACGATGCGGATGACAAATTGCAACTAAAACAAATGTAATTCAATTCATTATTCAATCAATGAAATGTTCTGTCTTACTTTTGTGCGGCGGCCCGGATTGGCGCGTCCGACGCGAAGGCGGGGCGTAGTAAAAACTACTGTAGAAAACCGATCAAAGCATTTTGTTTCGCCAAGTGACAGAGCGCAAAATTCCGCAATAGTACATATATTATATACTTATCAAAAGAGTCTACGCTACATTTTTCTTTACTTCAAACCGATTTTTAATACACAAACTTTGAACTCGAACACCCGTAGTTTTACTTTTTAATGACCGATTCGATTTATTACTGACTTTAGTAAAAAGGTTTTGAATAAATTATACAATATAAAATAGCGACTGATTTGACTTGCAGTTCGCGTAAATGATGCACGTCACTTCGACTTCTTTAATGTGTGTATCTTTATTCAAATTGGGTGCATAAGGGTGCGGCCAGAGTGCACTCAGATTCAGATTCAGATTCAGATTCTGAAAACAAGCGCGAGAAAAAAACAGTGTAGTCTAAGCAGGTTGCCTGCTTTTTCTCGTTTTTTCTTTTCTGAGTCTGAATCTGAATCAGGAGTGCACTCTGGCCGTACCCTTCGACTACACTGTTTATTTCACGCGCTTGTTTTCAGAATCTGAATCTGAATCTGAGTGCACTCTGGCCGCACCCTAATACAACACTATCAAATCGATTTTGGCAAATTTAAACTGTGTTATTATAATAACACAGTTTAACACGTAGACTAAAATTAAACATGGACTAAAATTGATGCTGTCACTGTTGCTTACTAACAAGAAGGCAGAGATAACATTACGTACTTAGCCTAGCTTTGATTTGAGTATTGGAATAAGGCGGAAAGTGTAGACGTGTCTCATCGACCATCTTCTATAAGGTCCTAATATGCTAAGATTGTTACATTCGAGTGTTTAGTAGTTTTTTACAGTAGAAGTTTTATATATGCGCTAGATGAATGAATGCATGCAGGTACGCATATGCATCTAGCATGTGCACCGCGATATGACATATCGATCGTTCTTATCACGCGCATTATTGTTAAATTTCTATGGAGTTTGACAGCTAGACGCGATAAAAATTGCGATACTACATGGTGAACAATTCACTGACTTGCAGAAAGTCAAGAAAGTCTTTAAACATGCACTAATGATTATTGACGCCTTCTGGAGTAACACAAAAAACACTTTGGGCTACTGTAGAACTTCAACGAAACAGGAAGTTCTTTCTGCAGTTCGAGCATATATGGCTCGTTCGGACTGTTCAATGGCTACACCAATTTGTCAAAATTGTACAGCAGAAGTTGGGGCGGAATATTTCAACGCTTCGCTTTCTGGTCTTCAAGCCATTGAACTCTATGCTCTTCGGAGCTACGATATGCTGACGTGAACTGCATGTCTTCTGTGACGCAAATGAACACGCGTATGCAACAACAGTGTACCAGCGACTGCAATCGAAGAACGGGGAAAAGGGATGGTGATTATTTCTTTTCTTAGTCAAGATTTCAGGTAGATCATCAAAGAGTATCGGATTCGTGTTAGTTCTTTATTCGCATAATCAAAACATCGTAGAGATATGTCGATTTGAAACATCGAATAACGTTACGTTTCGGTACAATTTTTACAAAGAGGTGACGTCCGAGTTCCCACTCCCAAACTTAGAGGCGCTTTATTTTTGTCTTTTTTTTGGTCGAAAGAAGAAAGAAAAATGAAGTTTCCATTATTTTTATAATAATCTTACTGACGACTAAATAGAATTTCGTTCACAACCTTATCGTAACCATCATTGATGGCATTGTAAAAGTGTGCACATTCGCGTATAGGTACCTGGTTGAGGCAGTAGTGCACGCACAGCGCGGGCAGACAGACGGGCGTGCCGGCCGCGCGCGTGCAGACCGCCCCGCGCCCGCACCGCCCCGCGCCGGGCCCGTCATAGTGTATAGGTACCTGGTTGAGGCAGTAGTGCACGCACAGCGCGGGCAGACAGACGGGCGTGCCGGCCGCGCGCGTGCAGACCGCCCCGCGCCCGCACCGCCCCGCGCCGGGCCCGTCATAGTGTATAGGTACCTGGTTGAGGCAGTAGTGCACGCACAGCGCGGGCAGACAGACGGGCGTGCCGGCCGCGCGCGTGCAGACCGCCCCGCGCCCGCACCGCCCCGCGCCGGGCCCGTCATACTGTATAGGTACCTGGTCGAGGCAGTAGTGCACGCACAGCGCGGGCAGACAGACGGGCGTGCCGGCCGCGCGCGTGCAGACCGCCCCGCGCCCGCACCGCCCCGCGCCGGGCCCGTCATACTGTATAGGTACCTGGTTGAGGCAGTAGTGCACGCACAGCGCGGGCAGACAGACGGGCGTGCCGGCCGCGCGCGTGCAGACCGCCCCGCGCCCGCACCGCCCCGCGCCGGGCCCGTCATAGTGTATAGGTACCTGGTTGAGGCAGTAGTGCACGCACAGCGCGGGCAGACAGACGGGCGTGCCGGCCGCGCGCGTGCAGACCGCCCCGCGCCCGCACCGCCCCGCGCCGGGCCCGTCATAGTGTATAGGTACCTGGTTGAGGCAGTAGTGCACGCACAGCGCGGGCAGACAGACGGGCGTGCCGGCCGCGCGCGTGCAGACCGCCCCGCGCCCGCACCGCCCCGCGCCGGGCCCGTCATAGTGTATAGGTACCTGGTTGAGGCAGTAGTGCACGCACAGCGCGGGCAGACAGACGGGCGTGCCGGCCGCGCGCGTGCAGACCGCCCCGCGCCCGCACCGCCCCGCGCCGGGCCCGTCATAGTGTATAGGTACCTGGTTGAGGCAGTAGTGCACGCACAGCGCGGGCAGACAGACGGGCGTGCCGGCCGCGCGCGTGCAGACCGCCCCGCGCCCGCACCGCCCCGCGCCGGGCCCGTCATACCCGGAACACTGCTCGCAGCGAGGACCTGCATCAACGATCGTCACATGAGGCTCTAATATTGGAAAAGTGGTTTTTCGGATCTGTGATATCCACGAGAACAGCAATATTAAATTAATTGTAGTGCAGTTCCTATTAAAAAAAATATCAAAGAGGATACCTTGTTGGATGTTTATAAGTATCACGGAAAGGACATCGACGAAATCGGCCCTAGCATGCCCAGAAGAATGTCCTTCACTATTATTTTTCTAATATTTTCTTAATTTATTAGCAATTAATCATAGTAAACGGACAATCTGTTTAAAAAAAATAAAAGTTCTGTTACTAGATACTGCAGTCTGTTCATCCTGATTTGTCCTATTTGGTAAACGATCTTGGCACTCCTTTTTATTGAAAATACAGCATTAAAAATCAACTGATAACTGAATTTAATAGGTTTCAGTCTATAATAACGATTTATTTTAAAACTTTATTGGCTTCGTTATTATTTTATTTTTAAATGGGTGATTTTCGTAAAAAGTTGTGGCAAGATTGTTTACCTTAATAAATGCAATATAGGCGATCATAGGTATTTATCAACATAAGAATAGAACTACGTACCTTAGTTAATAATACTTATCACTAGTATTTATATTATATTTATAAAAAGATCATTTCTGAAATTATGTAAAGATAGTTTATACTCCTATCCCATATAATATCTGTTTATTTTTATGAAAATCATAATAATAACCAGGTGAATACCTTATTACCGATAGTAAAATACAAAAAACAATTAAATGGAAGAACATTTCATTTGAAAAGAAATCTATTAGTACAACAGGTAGGTATAGGTATTATAGGTGCCAACTGCCAACACTCAAAAATCAATATGATATATTCATGTTATTTTTATTCAATATGATATATTCATATTATATTCATAGCATTTATTATTTTTATTATTAAATGCATTTTATGTTCATTTAATGCATATTATTTAAGTGTTACATACATAGAGGTAAACACTAAATCTATTCAAAATATATATGAAGTGTACATCTTTTACGATTAAGTAAAATAATTATAACCTCCAAATCGAATACATTTTGTAGTAGGCCACGGTTGCTCGAGTTGTCCGTATCTCAACAAATACCTAATCAGAGTTTATGAATGATTCCGAACACAACTAGCATTTTCTCATTGCTGCGCGTTCTAGGGCATTCAATGAAAAAATCGGGTAAATTTCCTTGTATTAATAGGGAGAAATCGGGAGATTTTTCGACAAAATAAAAATACAATATTTTATGCCACTAATTAAAACAAATTATTAAAAACATAATATGGTAAAGTTATTGCTAAATATTCATTTTCTTACCACTTCTTACTTGCTATTTAGGAAAAAAAATTGGGAATATTATAATTATAACAAGGTTGATTATTATCTTCAAAACATCTTTTTGAGTGGAGAAGACCAATAAATTGATTCAGTGGAGAATTTGTTGCACTACTTTGTTTTCAATGAAATGATTGACAATTATATTCGTTCCTTTGCAGATGAATGTGGTATATTCAGAATATTAAAAATAAACTAACAAATATTTTCCAATATTTATGAACTTTTCAGTGGTGTGGTGCCATTAAACAACGCAATTTCTTTCTCTTCCGAAGCAAACGCCATTCCGCCCCACCCCTGGTGTCCCACACATACCAGTATACCCGTCAGCACACACACAGAGCGGTAGGCCCCGCGTGGGTCGGCACGTGCCCCCGTTGTAGCACCTCCCCTCGCACCCCCCCCCCCCCCCCCCGGTGCCCCACACATACCAGTATACCCGTCAGCACACACACAGAGCGGTAGGCCCCGCGTGGGTCGGCACGTGCCCCCGTTGTAGCACCTCCCCTCGCACCCCCCCCCCCCCCCCCCCGGTGCCCCACACATACCAGTATACCCGTCAGCACACACACAGAGCGGTAGGCCCCGCGTGGGTCGGCACGTGCCCCCGTTGTAGCACCTCCCCTCGCACCCCCCCCCCCCCCCCCGGTGCCCCACACATACCAGTATACCCGTCAGCACACACACAGAGCGGTAGGCCCCGCGTGGGTCGGCACGTGCCCCCGTTGTAGCACCTCCCCTCGCACCCCCCCCCCCCCCCCCCCGGTGCCCCACACATACCAGTATACCCGTCAGCACACACACAGAGCGGTAGGCCCCGCGTGGGTCGGCACGTGCCCCCGTTGTAGCACCTCCCCTCGCACCCCCCCCCCCCCCCCCCCCCCGGTGCCCCACACATACCAGTATACCCGTCAGCACACACACAGAGCGGTAGGCCCCGCGTGGGTCGGCACGTGCCCCCGTTGTAGCACCTCCCCTCGCACCCCCCCCCCCCCCCCCCCCGGTGCCCCACACATACCAGTATACCCGTCAGCACACACACAGAGCGGTAGGCCCCGCGTGGGTCGGCACGTGCCCCCGTTGTAGCACCTCCCCTCGCACCCCGCCTCACCCCTCTCCTCCCCCACCTCGCACCGCGCCCCGCTGTACCCCTTCACGCACGTACACTGTGAAAAAAATACATAATATAAAATATAGCTAGCGACTCGTCCCGGCTTCACATGGGTGTATTAAATGTGTGGTGTAAGAAAAATGGGTGCGTGTACTTATGTAGGCGCGTGAGAAGTTATCCTTCTTTGGCATCGTTTAAAATTAATTTTTAATTGCATGCAAATAATTAATTACACACAAAATATTCAATTAAAATCGCTACTGAATATAATTTATTAAAACATAAAATATGTGATTTGCACTTGTATGAAACTCAAACACGTATCCCGAATATACAAACTAGAAACATGTGGATAAATATTATAAATATGAATACCTATAACTGTTACTTTATTACAAAAAATAAAGATGTGGTTTTTGGTTCTACTACACCAATGGTCAAGAGATGGCGCTGTAGTCTCCTGAATCGCGCTTTGGTTCCGTTGTTCCAGATTAATAAATACTTTTGATTGGCCTTCACAATGCAGTCGTTAGCACCCACTAAATAGAGATTCTATTTCTATTTTGTTGGTAGATTTTCTTAATGTGCGGTAAACACAAAAGTAACGCATGAAGTTGGTCGCTAAAGAGTCCAACTTCATGCTGTCGCTAAAGCGACCAACTTCATTATGTTAAAATTTTGTGTTACAGTGATGCGCGCGCATCTTAAAATTTCACTCTCATATTTTTTTTATAACGCGCCTAAAGAAGTATAACTTCAAAAAATATGTAACAGGCTTAGTGTACATTATTGAAATAATGATTATGCAAAATTTGTAGTCAATAGGTCCAAGGGATAAGATTTTACGAACAAAAGTTTTTTGCAAATTTCTCGCGAGACTGAATTTGAAAAACAAAACTCTCTTATTACTTGTCGTAGGCAATAATAAGAACCTCCTGTCCAACTTTCACCATTCTAGGTCAGCCGTTTGGGCTATGCGTTGATGAGTCAGTCTGTCTGTCAGTGTATCCTTTTTCTCTTTATATAATAGTGTAGATTTTGTTGAGTTGTCAATCACATTTGTGAGGAACAAAGGTATTGTTTCGATCGCTCTGTTTTTAGGAAATTAACATCCTTTCATTAGTCTATTGATATACATTAAGCACTCGTTAGTCAACTTAGGCGTCACTAATATCTGCCGTAGTTGCTATAGTCTTGTCACAGCTTTTTTTCATGTTCAAAGAGTGGTAAACGAGCATGAGGCCTGGCTAATGGCAAACGGCTACAAAATCCTATAGATAAGCTCTTACAACATAAAATATAAAACTCGCACTGTTGCCTAACCTGACTTAATCCCTTGCCCCGTGGAAACACTGGAACCTAACCCACCGCCAGAAACGCAACACCAACAAATGGTAGTATTATTTTACTGTGATCTTCTGTAAGGTGGAGATAACTCCCCGAGACGGACGCTCCAATTCAAATGAGAAATGCGCTTTTAGGCTTGTTGAAAATATATCGATGTATCGATATATCGATATTTTTTGCCGATATATTTTGATTCGATATATCGATACATCGATACAAAATAACCAATATCGAAATTCGTATCAAAAACGATATTTTTTTAATTATTAGCGGCATATCACGATCTAACTAAATTCGTATCTGGAAAAATCGTAACTGGATCTCAGATTAATGATATTGAACATATCTATGATCTGTACTGTATTTAGTATTGTCTATGTCATCATTCGAAAATAGGGTCTATTTTTAGGGAGATAATTTTCGTTCCATTATTATTCCGCGTGTCATATTTCGTGAGCTACTGTACGATATTTTTGGGAAAATTGGTCCGATATATCGATATATCGATGTTTTTTTCGCGATATATCGAAGCCGATATTGATATTTTTTAAAATATCGATGTATCGATATATCTCTTTGCTCTTTGCTCTACCTCTCTTTACAGTTGATGCAGTTTTCATGACAGTTGACATATTTACCTGCAGCGGCTGCAGGCCTGTAGCGACATCTGCCGGCGCAGCAGTGTCCAGCGAGCAGTGTCCTCTATGCAGGCAGTGCTTCTCGCAGCGGTAGTGTTGACACTGCTTGCCCGCGTACAGTCCGGGACACACACAGGACCCGTTAACGCACGATCCTGCCCCGCAACCCCCCTCGCAGCCCTCGAGCGTCTTCGGATTATGGTCTTCGGTGAACAGCACGCGCTGCACCCACGATTCGACGCATTTCATCGTCTCCTGCGCAACAATAAAAGATGACAAATCAAATATGTACTAAGTAACAGAGGAAAATTCCATTGTTTTACGATTTCGCTTGTGTAGTTTGGCATCTTCGCTATAAATTTTAAAATAGTCATAATAATACTTTGTCATTCAGATCATGAAGCTTCAGTTAAATGGTGCAACTTTATATCCGCATAACTTCTTCGTATTGTAACGTGTTAAAAACACCGCATGAGTTTTGTTTGTTTGAATAGAGAGATAAAAAACCTCAGTTTAGATTGTTTCACTGTTTTCGTTTACCATAGATTATTAGGCGATTTTTTACTATTTTAGTAAATTTTTATTAGACCATGAAATAACCCTTTGTCACAACATGGGAGCGAGGCTTCCATTCATACATTCACCTCAACACAACAAAGATGTAGCGGGGACAGTAAAAGCATGTAAATATGTACTAATAAGGACATACATACTAATTCTGGTACGAGAAAATTCTTCCTTTATGTAAAATTCATGAAAAGATTACAACAAGAGGAGACCTCTAAATTCAAGAAAATCATTGGCAAATACAATACAAGCCAAAGTGACTTTGAATTTTGCTTCAACCCCTCTTGCGATTAATAGTTTAATGCCTTTCCGGCGAGTTTATTGTAGTAGGTCTGGCGCCCGAGTACGTTTTAAATTTTATTTCGACCTATCCATATTATTTTAAACCAATTTTTGTCTTAATCATTATTTTTTTTATATGACAGTATCAATAATGTATGTACATACATACATAGGAGAGTGACATAGTCAATGTTGTGACTTGGGACTAAACCCTCTTTTTTATAAAAGAAAAAAGAACTTTATTTCGGAAATAAAAGAACTTCGTCGTAGCTTTAATGAAAAGTATAATACATATTATAATAACAAAATTATATTTTGTTTAAAATATACTGGTTTTTAATTCATTTTGCCTACTTATAGCACAAAAATATCATTAATCTTATATATAAAATTCTAATGTGTCACAATTTTAGTTACCATACTCCTCGAATCGGCTTGACCGATTGTTATGGAATGTTATATGCATGTTCAGTAATACTATCTCTTTTACTTTCCCTTAGCAATAAGGGTTGTCCACCCCTAACATATATATTTTTTTATAATGTGGCATTAAAAATTACGTACAATCCTAAATTTTCACCCTTCTATACCATCCATATTTTTATGGCGAAATGAAGTTCGCTGGGTCAGCTAGTGGTATCTATAATATGAAGCTGCTAAATTTAAATCTTAAGCATCCACCCGGATAGCGAAAGGTGCAGAAGACAAAATGACATTTTCTTTTCTGTTCAATTTTAATTTTAATTTTAACATACCTAGTGTGGGAAAACTAATAAATTTTCTGAAAATATTTTTTTATCGCAATACTTATCAAAATGGTAGGTACTTATTTAAAAAAAAGTCATGTTGTGCTGTGTCAGTTAAAACTGTGACACGTTCGCAAATACACACATAATTTTATATCTAAGGTTTTTAAAGAGAAGCAATGTTTGTAATAAAAACTATCTCGGAACAATAACAATGACGATAACATAATGAAAAAAAGGTCTTGCTTGATTATTTTAACATGCTTCACGCAACATGTTCTCAATACGTGCAATGAAATTAATCATGCATGATCAGGAAGGCATGCGTAATTTCGGCACGGTTTAGTAAGTCAGGTTGGCCGAGTGGTCTAAGGCGCCAGATTTAAGCTCTGGTTCCCGAGAGGGAGCGTGGGTTCGAACCCCACACCTGACAAAAGTTGAAACTGCCTGTTTTATTTTTGTATCGTTTTTTAATAGTAATTTTAGTAAACAGAAATGTATCTTAATTAATAATTATTAATATATCAAGATTTTAACAAAATTGTAGTCTGTAAAAGCATTCAAATTATATACATAGTATAGATAAAATTTTATGGGTAATACAACTATGTGTTTTGTGAATTTGGAATTAGTTAAGTATTACTGAAATTTAAAATGTACAGTCCTCATTTTGGGGCTATTCTAATTTGTGTTAGTTATGCATACTACGATGATAATTATGGCAAAATTAAATTTTATAACAAAATATAGGCCATTAGCACATCATTAAACGAAAATAGACAACAATTTTATGAGAACGAGAAAAAATCATCCAGTCTTTCATTTCTTCTTTTTGATAAAAATCTTTGGAAATAATACGTCATTGATTTTATATCGCCTTTCTTATATGTGAAGTTAATTTTATTATAACAATAAACAAGCATACTTAATGAAAAAGTAAAGTTTTAATATGGTTGCATGTCACTCAGAAACAAAAAAAAACAGACAACACGTCAGACTTGTGTTATTTTTTCAGAACTGTCGTAGTTCTTATACGCCGGTAGTTCTCTATACACAAGAAATATGTGAATTTAGTGTAGTGGGGAGTTATAAATGAACATTTGTATTGTTTGGCTCCCCCTATACATTTGCGAATTTACAATAAATAAATACATCTGTGTCTCCAGAATTTGCATAATTTTAATTAGACATTGACAATAAATAGACTCTTTCCACCCTGTCAATAAACAAAGAATAAGCTTGGATTATTTATTCTATGTTTTGTTTCTGTTCGTTAAATTACAAATGGCATTTTGAGTGATACAAACAAAACATAGAACATTTCGCTGAACAGCCCATGAATAGAATGTGTTCATACTTTAATAATATTTGCTCTGATCATAACATGTTTAACTGTAGCTTACTTTCTTTCAAGAATTCTTTGTTAAAAATTTGTGCTGAACACTAAAAATTATAAAACTAAAGTTATTCCCCTCTCTGCAAAGCCTATATTGATTGAGATGTTTGTGAATTACAATTATATTTAAGTCTGTTATAATGATATAATATTAAGATATTTTATTTTTTTCTTCGCTGTCTATTTATGTATGTAAATGTTGTGGACAATTGTAATTGGGCACAGCATGCCCATAGTTTTTCATATCTTTTTGTACTTGTTTTTGTTTTTTTGTTGTGTGATGTCTGTTATTGTGCCATTATAAATAAATAAATAGCGTAAATTATCTAAGCTTATTCCTCGTTAATTAATATAAAGGGGTGTGTCTTGACATCTATAAAAAAAATCGGTGTTTGTCATCGACGACCTTCGTGACGCGAGTGGTATGTACGCTGAGTTTTAAGTTGTCGCCTACTCGAGAGGTCCCGAGTTCGAATCTCAGTGGGTCAAATAATGTTTGTGTGATGAATACGAGCATTTGTACTTAAGTCATGAATTTTATATATACATATTTATATATAAAAATACCTGTGTAGCTATCAGTCTTTATATTCTATCCGTTACCCTTGTATCCCATAGCATAAGCCTTACAGTGCTTAGTTTGGGGTTAGAGTAATTGGTGTGAGTGTTGGAATTATTTGTTATTATTATTGAATAGTGTGTTAGTGGTCTCACATCGTTGGCGTCGCTGCTGGTCTGCAGACGCGCGGGGCACAGACAGGCGTGGTGGGTCCCCCGTGACCCACTGCGGAGGCAGAGGGCGCTGGCATCGCACCGGGGGCGCCCGTCAGGGTACAGGCACGGGTCCGCCACTTTATCTGCACAAGTTCATAATAGTGTTCTTTATTTTTGCTTTTATGTTTCAATTATTTGGATGGAATAAATTATATTAATTTGTCAATTCAAGGAAAAAAACTTACAAAAATCTGTATCCAATTTACTTAATAAGATATGTCATTCATCACATCAAAATTTAACATGTATGATAAATTAGTAAGTTTTTTCAGTGAAGAAATTTATTCAGGAATTGAAATATCAGTCGTTAGAGAATTGTTTTTAAGTTCTTTTTTAATTAAGATTAGTTTTTTTTATTTCAGCAAAATTTTGAAACACCTGAATAGCTGATTCTGGATATGACAAGACAAAAAAATATTATTTGCTAAATTTTTTTTTCGCTTTATTTTTATCACAAACATTGTGATGCAAGCTTAACTTATTACAACATCTTCATCAAAAATAATATTTTTTATTATTCTTCTTAAAAATACGAAATGCAATTTATTTTTGATAAATCAGCCAAACATGCCGTTGACCCGAGCGATGCAACAGCTACGTCACTAGGAGGCATCTAGCCAGTGTGTCTGAGCTCACTTCTCCGTACTTCGAAAGACACGACAAGCCGTCGGTCTCGGCTGCATCTGCAGTCGTCGGCACCCACCAATCCACGCGTGGGGTGTTAACGACTACAGATCTTTCTGATTTATCAGTAAGGAAGGCGTGTGCCCCAGCAGGGGGGATATTAGTGAGGCGATGATGACGCTGTACTCACGGTCAGGCGGGCGCACGTATAGCAGATCCAGCGCGGTGACGGCGGGCAGCGCGTGCGGGTGCGGTTGCGGTTGCGGTGCGGTTGCGGTGCGGGTGCGGGCGCGGGTGCGGCGCGGCAGGCGGGTGAGGCCGCGCGCGGTGCTGCACCAGATCCACTCTTCGAATACCAGCGCGCGGGAACATACGCGCCCAGCCACCACTGCCGTCTCACCAGGAGGTGCGGCTAATGTGGGGAGAGAGGAGCGGTAAATATAACAATCTATATATGTGAAGAGGAGCTCCATGGCGCAGGTGGCTAGCGCGTTCGGCTGCGATCATTGAAGTTGAGCAACTTTCGTGGTCGGTCATTGGATGGGTGACCAAAAATTTACTATCTCGAGCTCCTCCGTGCTTCGGAAGGCGCGTTGAGCCGTCGGTCCCGGCTGCGTTTGCAGTCGTTAGCACCCACCGATCCGCACTGGGCCCGCGTGGTGGGTCATGGCCCGATCTCCCTGTTCCATCCATAGGGAAGGCCTGTGCCCCAGCAGTGAGGACATTAATAGGCTGATGATGATGATGATGATATATATGAAAGTCAAAGGTGACCGACTGACATAATGATCTATCAACGCACAGCCCGAACCACTGGACGGATCGGACTGAAATTTGGCATGCAGGTAGATGTTATGACGTAGGCGTCCGCTAAGAAAGGATTTTGATCAATTCTACTCCCAAGGGGATAAAATAGGGAATGAAAGTTTGTATGAAACTTTGTCAATTTTAAACCGATCGGGCTGAGACTTTGCATGCAGGTATTATAAAAATCATAAATGAATGTGATTGTGTATAATACAAGCCTTAGAACAAAAACTGTAGTCTACACTTCAGCTCTACACCGAAGCGAAGCGAGGGGCTGCTAGTCTTTATTAATAAATATCCTTTTGTTATCATTAACATTTGTATTGGAAAGTGACATCATGCCCTGAAGAAACTTTTCGAGTTGACGATTCTATATATAATACAGGGGGGAAAAAACAGCCCTTGCTGAGTTTCTTGCCGATTCTTCTCAATGCAAGGTCCCTAGCCATAGATTTACAAACCGATGGCGTAGCTTTTCGACATTCACAACTGCTTGTTATAGCCTCGACTGAATAAACGATATTATTTTTTAATTTATTTCCCTCACACCGGTTTCCCTAACCCAAACTAAGCACACTGACGGCTTGTGTTATGGGATGCTACAATAACGGATGAATACATATACTGATACATATATAAGTATATTTTATCTAGAAATACATCCGCAACTAATATGCAATTGCTTGATCGTTAATTGTTACATAACTTCTATCTAATCTTTATAAAATATATAAATCATTTGTTTTTTAATTCGATTTAGTCATCTGCCACCATCTATCGAGAAATTAAGCATTTTCTTATAAGATTAGGGCAGTGCTTTTGTAGCAAGACTAACATATAAGCATGCGTTTTAAATTGTCAAACCTTTAATATAGTTTGCTTAAAATTTCTTAGAATTAGAGCAAGCGATCGCAAATACATTTACTGAACTTGATGTCTAAATGATAAAGCTTATTTTTGTTTGCGAAAAATGTAACTTAAATTAAATAGTATATTAATGTTTCATTTTAAGTGATTAGTTTAATAATGTCTTCGAATATAACGCACATTTTCGTTTTTTTCTTTTAATAATTATTCGCTTTTCGAGAAAATTTAAGTATAAAATATTTAATTTTGACCTAAAGAGCTGAATTTAAACACATCTGTGTTCACTTTTTTGTAGGTTTCACTTATATCGCACGTGAACAGCATGTCATGTCCGTTATTTATTTTAAAATTTCTTATTTGTGTACAATTTTCTTAAATATATTTTCCGTAAGAATCTCCTACAAATTATTAGAAAACAATCGGTACGGCTTGATATATACAGCCGTGGGCGGGGCAAAAGCTGCAAAAGTGGCCACGTTTGCCGTTGCGATGCAGTCGGCTGCGAGCCGCTCGTAAATATAAAGCCTAAAGTCGTTCCCAAATTATGGCGTGACCAAAGGATAGACAGGTTAATTTTAATATATGCTCACCTGTAGTTGCAGAGTTCGGTGCCCGCGGTAAGTCATGCGGTCGATGTGCGAAGATAGCCACAGTATATCTTCCACTCCCATCTAAGGAGACCGCTTCCAAAGTATGTCTCCTGGCGTCCGTGAAGTATAGTCGCGCAGTAGGTGAATGTAATGCTAAGGCACCCGGTCGCCGGACCGTCCGGACTATGTTCCGGGCGTCGCGTCCGGATAACTGCGCCCGCATTATGCCCGGCACTGTGCCCACCTCGCACCAGAACACCCAGCTGTGACAGATATACATAGATTGCGATCAAAACGTACAGAAACCTACATCGCGCAAGTGAAATTCGGATGCTAACACTCGATATATACGATGCCCGACCAACATCATTCGGGCCACGACCCCCGAGCTACCACCACCCAGCTCGGAGGAAGATCTTCCCATTTGGCCTTCCTAAACTTATTTACACATATTACATTAATTTACACATAGTACATTAATACCACTCACCCTGACTCGTGATCCACTATCAGGTCATCAGGCTCAGAATATGGCGCGGAGTAGAGAGCCACCGGGTTGTTGGCCTCCAGCGTGGCCGCGTAGAGTCCGCTGGGGTGGCGGCGTCTCTCTCCCTCGCTGGCGCCGTGATATATCAAGGAATACCACTCACCCTGACTCGTGATCCACTATCAGGTCATCAGGCTCAGAATATGGCGCGGAGTAGAGAGCCACCGGGTTGTTGGCCTCCAGCGTGGCCGCGTAGAGTCCGCTGGGGTGGCGGCGTCTCTCTCCCTCGCTGGCGCCGTGATATATCAAGGAATACCACTCACCCTGACTCGTGATCCACTATCAGGTCATCAGGCTCAGAATATGGCGCGGAGTAGAGAGCCACCGGGTTGTTGGCCTCCAGCGTGGCCGCGTAGAGTCCGCTGGGGTGGCGGCGTCTCTCTCCCTCGCTGGCGCCGTGATATATCAAGGAATACCACTCACCCTGACTCGTGATCCACTATCAGGTCATCAGGCTCAGAATATGGCGCGGAGTAGAGAGCCACCGGGTTGTTGGCCTCCAGCGTGGCCGCGTAGAGTCCGCTGGGGTGGCGGCGTCTCTCTCCCTCGCTGGCGCCGTCTCGCTCGCTCGCCAGCTGCACCAGCGTCCAGTACAGACGCTTCGACACCGGGTCTACGGCCACGCCGCGGATCATTCCGGTGGTTTGTAACTGAAAATTTAGTTTAGTTTACATATTAAAATCGGACAGGAGCTGATAGACATTTGTGAAATACATAGATATGGATTGCTAGATTATTGTCAGAGCTTATTAAATACCTGGACAAAGATTTTTTTTTGTTTTAAGGGACTTTCGGACCAAATTATCCTTATCAGCCCCATTGTAACCTGACCATTAAAATTTCTTAAAACCACTTCATTGTTACAGTCATATACTTTTTGTTATCATATTGCAAAGCGTGGCGCGACGGAGCCTGCTCCCCGCCTCCCCCCACCAAGCTTGTAGTATTATACTCACCAGAGTAGTATGCGCGGTGGTATTGGCCCCGGTGTGCGAGGGAGAGGGCGCTAGTGAGAGTGAGGGAGAGGGCAGACGGGCGCGGCCCCCGCCCTGTCCCCCCCACGCTTGTAGTATTATACTCACCAGAGTAGTATGCGCGGTGGTATTGGCCCCGGTGTGCGAGGGAGAGGGCGCTAGTGAGAGTGAGGGAGAGGGCAGACGGGCGCGGCCCCCGCCCTGTCCCCCCCCCGCTTGTAGTATTATACTCACCAGAGTAGTATGCGCGGTGGTATTGGCCCCGGTGTGCGAGGGAGAGGGCGCTAGTGAGAGTGAGGGAGAGGGCAGACGGGCGCGGCCCCCGCCCTGTCCCCCCCCACGCTTGTAGTATTATACTCACCAGAGTAGTATGCGCGGTGGTATTGGCCCCGGTGTGCGAGGGAGAGGGCGCTAGTGAGAGTGAGGGAGAGGGCAGACGGGCGCGGCCCCCGCCCTGTCCCCCCCCACGCTTGTAGTATTATACTCACCAGAGTAGTATGCGCGGTGGTATTGGCCCCGGTGTGCGAGGGAGAGGGCGCTAGTGAGAGTGAGGGAGAGGGCAGACGGGCGCGGCCCCCGCCCTGTCCCCCCCCACGCTTGTAGTATTATACTCACCAGAGTAGTATGCGCGGTGGTATTGGCCCCGGTGTGCGAGGGAGAGGGCGCTAGTGAGAGTGAGGGAGAGGGCAGACGGGCGCGGCCCCCGCCCTGTCCCCCCCCACGCTTGTAGTATTATACTCACCAGAGTAGTATGCGCGGTGGTATTGGCCCCGGTGTGCGAGGGAGAGGGCGCTAGTGAGAGTGAGGGAGAGGGCAGACGGGCGCGGCCCCCGCCCTGTCCCCCCCCACGCTTGTAGTATTATACTCACCAGAGTAGTATGCGCGGTGGTATTGGCCCCGGTGTGCGAGGGAGAGGGCGCTAGTGAGAGTGAGGGAGAGGGCAGACGGGCGCGGCCCCCGCCCTGTCCCCCCCCGCTTGTAGTATTATACTCACCAGAGTAGTATGCGCGGTGGTATTGGCCCCGGTGTGCGAGGGAGAGGGCGCCAGTGAGAGTGAGGGAGAGGGCAGACGGGCGCGGCCCCCGCCCTGTCCCCCCCACGCTTGTAGTATTATACTCACCAGAGTAGTATGCGCGGTGGTATTGGCCCCGGTGTGCGAGGGAGAGGGCGCCAGTGAGAGTGAGGGAGAGGGCAGACGGGCGCGGCCCCCGCCCTGTCCCCCCCACGCTTGTAGTATTATACTCACCAGAGTAGTATGCGCGGTGGTATTGGCCCCGGTGTGCGAGGGAGAGGGCGCTAGTGAGAGTGAGGGAGAGGGCAGACGGGCGCGGCGCAGCCTGCCCCCCGCCTCCCCCCACCACGCGAACGCCGCGCCTTCGGCCCACGAAGTACATAGCCCCCACACTTCTACCGCACTGCAATAACATACAACATACTTAGACATACGCACATCAAATAAGTCTAAGTAATAAGCAACGTGTACGCAAATGATAAATTGTGTTCTTCGAAACCTAAAGACGGCTATGAAGTCCACGCAAGTCACAACCGCAATCTTCACTTGAATTGCACTTATTATGAATTCTATTAGAATAAACATAGTTTGAGTAAGAAGTTTTAATGAAAATAAATAATAAAGCTAGACTCGAAACGACAGAAAAAAATATAGATAATTATACAGTACACACACCTAATATAGGTACGGACTTATTGATAAGCAGACATCAATCTTGACGACCTCCGTGGTCGAGTGGTTTGTACGCCGGGTTTCATGGTGTCGCCGACTCGAGAGGTCCCGGGTTCAAATCCCGGTGGGGGCACATGTTTGTGTGATGAATACGAGCATTTGTACTCTAGTCATGGATGTTTAATATGTATTTCTATATAAATATACTTATATATGTACAGTATATGTATTCTATCCGTTATCCTAGCATCCCATAACACAAGCCTTACAGTGCTTACTTTGGGGCTAGGCTAATTGGTGTGTGTTTAAAAAAAAAAAATCACATCTTTCTCCCGAACATCTCCCAACCAATATTACATGATAATGTGATTTATATTCAACGAATTAAAATAATATAAAATACGAACTGTGCTAAAAATGGTTCCACGCAAACTGCGATCGAGTGGGCGAAGCAAAAAAATGCGATTAACACGGCAATTATGATATCATCATCATCATCATCAGCCTATTAATGTCCTCACTGCTGGGGCACAGGCCTTCCCTATGGATGGAATAGGAAGATTGGGCCATGACCCACCACGCGGGCCCAGTGCGGATTGGTGGGTGCTAACGACTGCAAATGCAGCCGGGACCAACGGCTTAACGTGCCTTCCGAAGCACGAAGCAATTATGATATTAGTTGAAATTTGATTATAAAATTCTCTAAGCCAATGAATGGATAACCAAATTCAGTTGCAGCTATCTTATTTGTTAAAGCATTTCGTCTGTGTCCGGTTAGTGTTAAAATTTAGTTTAAGAATTTGGAACCATTTTTTAGCGACCTTCCTTAGAGAGTAATAATTCCATAATACTTTTTAACTCATTGTTTCTAGCTAAAGTACAACTTTTCGTCTAATATAGTGGTATTCCCCTAACTTCGATGTGTCAGTATTCCTATAAAACGGTTGTAACGGTGAGTTAGTGGGATGGAAAATGAAAACTAGGATCTTGGACGCAATGGGTATATTTACACTATCTATTTTAAAGTAATGCGCCAAATAATATTATAGCAGACCACAGACAAAGACTACGAGAACACAAAAACAATTTTGATAACAAAAATCATAAATATGCCGATACTTTAAAACACTTCAAGAATCCATAAAAACTAAATCTATCAAAAAAGGTCGACAGCGACATAGTATGTATTTGAGTGCATGTTATATGGTTACCTCTCGTTGGCCGCCTGCAGCTGGTCGGCGTGCAGCTCCCTCTCACACTTGTGTTATAGTATATATATGAGTGCCTGTCACCTCTCGTTGGCCGCCTGCAGCTGGTCGGCGTGCAGCTCCCTCTCACACTTGTGTTATAGTATATATATGAGTGCCTGTCACCTCTCGTTGGCCGCCTGCAGCTGGTCGGCGTGCAGCTCCCTCTCACACTTGTGTTATAGTATATATATGAGTGCCTGTCACCTCTCGTTGGCCGCCTGCAGCTGGTCGGCGTGCAGCTCCCTCTCACACTTGTGTTATAGTATATATATGAGTGCCTGTCACCTCTCGTTGGCCGCCTGCAGCTGGTCGGCGTGCAGCTCCCTCTCACACTTGTGTTATAGTATATATATGAGTGCCTGTCACCTCTCGTTGGCCGCCTGCAGCTGGTCGGCGTGCAGCTCCCTCTCACACTTGTGTTATAGTATATATATGAGTGCCTGTCACCTCTCGTTGGCCGCCTGCAGCTGGTCGGCGTGCAGCTCCCTCTCACACTTGTGTTATAGTATATATATGAGTGCCTGTCACCTCTCGTTGGCCGCCTGCAGCTGGTCGGCGTGCAGCTCCCTCTCACACTTGTGTTATAGTATATATATGAGTGCCTGTCACCTCTCGTTGGCCGCCTGCAGCTGGTCGGCGTGCAGCTCCCTCTCACACTTGTGTTATAGTATATATATGAGTGCCTGTCACCTCTCGTTGGCCGCCTGCAGCTGGTCGGCGTGCAGCTCCCTCTCACACTTGTGTTATAGTATATATATGAGTGCCTGTCACCTCTCGTTGGCCGCCTGCAGCTGGTCGGCGTGCAGCTCCCTCTCACACTTGTGTTATAGTATATATATGAGTGCCTGTCACCTCTCGTTGGCCGCCTGCAGCTGGTCGGCGTGCAGCTCCCTCTCACACTTGTGTTATAGTATATATATGAGTGCCTGTCACCTCTCGTTGGCCGCCTGCAGCTGGTCGGCGTGCAGCTCCCTCTCACACTTGTGTTATAGTATATATATGAGTGCCTGTCACCTCTCGTTGGCCGCCTGCAGCTGGTCGGCGTGCAGCTCCCTCTCACACTTGTGTTATAGTATATATATGAGTGCCTGTCACCTCTCGTTGGCCGCCTGCAGCTGGTCGGCGTGCAGCTCCCTCTCAAACTTGTGTTATAGTATATATATGAGTGCCTGTCACCTCTCGTTGGCCGCCTGCAGCTGGTCGGCGTGCAGCTCCCTCTCACACTTGTGTTATAGTATATATATGAGTGCCTGTCACCTCTCGTTGGCCGCCTGCAGCTGGTCGGCGTGCAGCTCCCTCTCACACTTGTGTTATAGTATATATATGAGTGCCTGTCACCTCTCGTTGGCCGCCTGCAGCTGGTCGGCGTGCAGCTCCCTCTCACACTTGTGTTATAGTATATATATGAGTGCCTGTCACCTCTCGTTGGCCGCCTGCAGCTGGTCGGCGTGCAGCTCCCTCTCACACTTGTGTTATAGTATATATATGAGTGCCTGTCACCTCTCGTTGGCCGCCTGCAGCTGGTCGGCGTGCAGCTCCCTCTCACACTTGTGTTATAGTATATATATGAGTGCCTGTCACCTCTCGTTGGCCGCCTGCAGCTGGTCGGCGTGCAGCTCCCTCTCACACTTGTGTTATAGTATATATATGAGTGCCTGTCACCTCTCGTTGGCCGCCTGCAGCTGGTCGGCGTGCAGCTCCCTCTCCAGCTTGTGTTATAGTATATATATGAGTGCCTGTCACCTCTCGTTGGCCGCCTGCAGCTGGTCGGCGTGCAGCTCCCTCTCAAACTTGTGTTATAGTATATATATGAGTGCCTGTCACCTCTCGTTGGCCGCCTGCAGCTGGTCGGCGTGCAGCTCCCTCTCAAACTTGTGCAGCTCTCGCACGCGCAGCCAGCCCTCGCCCGCCACCACCAAGCGAGGCTTCTCGCCTGTAACACCATATTTATTCATATACTTTATGGAAAACCAACGGCTCACAAACTTAATAAAATAAATTAAACATAGAAACAGTTTGGCAAATTATGGGTTTTCGCGTGTGGAAACTAATCACTATTGTATACTTAACAGTGTAAATAATTATAAATTTTGAAGTAAGCATTGCAAACACAATTTATGCAAAGAGAATATTATGTAGGTTCTACAAAAAAATCCACGCGGACCAGGCAGCAGACGGGACTCGAACCCGCACCCTTCGCTATCCGGGCGAATGCACTGACCATTATGCTACCGCGGCCCTGGTGGCCGTGTCAAATTCTTTCTCACCTTTCAGCGCCCACAATGTCAGTTGACATTGTGCGTTATATGCAATGCGAAAGGCAGCGCCATGTCTTCGCATTGCAACTTTGTTAAAATTACATTTTAATAGCTACAATAAAATATCTCTCCCCGTATGCGCCCCGTGCATTACGTGCTCGTGTATGTCTCTTTCGCACCGTAATCAAAGTCTCTTCCTCACTCGTATACACTTGACATTGAATTTTACTGCCACGACGTAACGTGTCAATTTGAAAAAATGTGTTAATTCTGTTCAAGTTGATGTATATGTGTAGCACAGCGCTGCTTGGACGTTTTTTAATGCACGTTTGTTAGACGATTAGAAGTCTACTAGTTTTTATAGGTCAATGTGATAAACCTCAGATGTATCTTACCGATGAACTCGCAGGCGAGTCCGCCATCAGGAAGCTGTCGCTGCCGGTACCCCTCCACGCATCTGTCACAAATATAGCTTCAGTCTCAACAATCATTACAAAAAATGTTAAATGAAAGGTTTCAGCCTAAATTTTGAATGCGTTTTCAACTGTTAAATAAACATTTATCGTTGTACGATCGATGACAAAGAAGTTCATATCTGGTACTAGATAAATGATTTCTAAACCAGTCGCCACTAAACTATCCGTCAATCATTTTACTTTCAACTGTGATTCTGCCTCTATTATTTATATGCAATATGTATTCTGTTTTTATTAAGGCTAAGAGTTAGTAATTTAATTTATAAACGCTTATTATTACAACCTCCGTGGCCGGGTGGTTTGTACTCCGGGTTTCATGGTGTCGCCGACTCGACATATCCCGGGTTCGAATCCCGGTGAGTGCAGATGTTTGTGTGATGAATACGAGCATTTGTACTCCAGTTTAAATTGTTTTTCTATATAAATATACTTATATATGAACAGTATATGTATTCTATCCGTTACCCCAGCATCCCATAACACAAGCCTTTACAGTGCTTACTTTGGGGCTAGGCTAATTGGTGTGTTGGAAATATTTATTCATTTATTTATTCACGGAAAAGTCCAAAAATTCTTCGGATGTTACAGCAGATATATTAACGACCATAAGATGGGTTCCTTTGATTATATATACGCCTAGATGCCGTATTAACTGTAAGGAAGCGGCACAAAAAATATCTACTGCAAATGGTAGATATGCTCATCGCTACACACGCACACATTGACTGCTTTCAAACAATCTGACATTGGAGTCACGGGTGTCTGGGCTTGTATATACTCAAATATAGATTCATTGTTCACAAGCAATATAGTACTCTTGTAGGCAGTTCATAAGGTTTACAGTAGCAACTCACTTGCACGTGTGGTTGCCATGCTTGGGCAGGCACAGCTGCGGGCACGCGCGCCAATCACACTCGTTCTTTTCTGCACAACAATATATGCACAATATTATTTCATAAGTTCGAGTATTATGACTCTTAAAAAATAGTATATAGTTTAAATGTAAAGCAAATATAACTAGAAAAAAATTCACGCGGACCAGGCAGCAGACGGGGCTCGAACCCGTACATTTCGCTATCTGGGCAAATGCACTGACCAATTATGCAACCGCGGCCCTTTTGGCCACGTCGAAATTCTTCTAGCCATAAAGCTGCAAGGCTGCGCCATCTCTTCGCATTGTAGGTAACCCACAATGTCAAAAACAAAGTTTAAATGCTATTTCTTCTTTCAAATATTTAATACTTGTAAGAGTATTCATTTGACATTTCACCTTAGTTACAAGCAATTTTAACATTATATTCTATGATCAAAGCGGCAAGCAAAATGTTATATATAAAAAAACACAAGTTTCGAATCGAACAAGACAAGTATGAAAAGCGAACAGCCCACAGAGCGACCGAGATCTCTATGAACGCGGTTGACAGTTCAGGGAGGGAGCTCCTGTCTACCAAAATAACCGCGAATGACATACAAAGGATAAAGTTTACAAAGACGACGGCGTTAGTTAAATTTTCCTCTTCATTCATATACATGTTGGCCGCACCGCAAGCAGTGTTTACTGACCGTCAGTACAGGACGCGGAGACCGGCACACAGCGCCCGTCCGGACACAGCTGCTGCGAGCACTCCGCCGGACCCCGCCCGCGGCCTGACCGGAAACATGGATATATAAACACACAAACACTGTACCACTCCCACCCCCACCCCCCACCACACCGGATAACTACAGCCGAGCTCAGAGTCTCAGAGACGCTCTCTAGATGAGCCGACCCCCTCAGGTTCGAGTGGTCTACAGGCTCCACACGGAGAGGAGCCTTCCCCCCGTGGGGAGATGCCATCAGCCTGGAATACCTCTACAGCAGTGTTTCCTAACCTTTCCAATACCGCTACCCCTGTAACGTGTTAGGAAAACAGATTTTACCCCGACTTTGAAGTGTTATCATCTGTCCGTGAAATTCCAATTTGGCCGCTACATTTTCGTCTCTAATAACGTCATCATTAGGAGAAAATCTCGCCCCGCTTCCCACACTCGGCACCCCGCGGGCTCGCTAGCAAGAAGGAGCGCATGCTCTATTTAGTAGTATTATTATATAGTATTTTCTTAATATTTAGATTTGACCAAATAATTAGGTTCTTTGTTACCCCCGGAGGAGTAATTACCCCCAGGTTCGGAACCCAGGCTCTAGAGGCACTCGCCAATTCTCGGCTTGAGGTCCCCTTAGGATCTCGCCGTCCCAAAAGCCAGTGACGCTGTAAAGGTCATCTGCGACCAACAGCATACACACTCAAAAAAAAAAAACAGTTCAGTACCAGTCAAATAATCAAATGAAATTCACAGTTATTTGCTTCATACAGAGTGGTATATTTAGTAAATGTTGGACAATGTTTCCTTTGTTCTCCAGTTTTCTGCTTTAATTATTGAATGCTTGAAAATGTTGTATAAAGGTAAGTTTGTGTCTATACATTTAACAGGGAAGATGCGAATATAATATTTATGAAAATTTTATGATTAAAATGTTAAAAAAATATAAAAGAAAGGCCACTGCAACGTTTTTATTTTACATAATGTTGTTTTTTAACAATAATTACGAATTAAAAATGACTTGGAAAAAACCTATTTTAAAACACCAATCAGCGTTTAGTGACGTCACTCCTGTTATAACAACTTAACACGCTTGTCGTGGATTTGAGATTATGGTTATAAAAGTGAATATTATTTTATGGGAATATTAATTGCGTTTTTTTCATAAAAATGGAAGTTGGGTGTATCAAAGCAGACTCCAGGAAATTACCAAGAGTTAGTATTGACATGGTTGTAACTTTTTTTGTCCAATGTGCAGAGTTTTCAAGTGTAGAAATGAAAGGGACTAAATTACTACGGTAGGTATAATCATAGTTGTTAAACTTTGTATTTTATTCAGCGGCTTCTACACATAGCATTATTTCAGCTCAACAAGAGAATCTTACGGCGTAAATGCAATCGGCTATGTCCAAATTAAAAGAGATGGAGAATTATGTACAGTAAAAAGTCGAGTTACTCCGGAGCATAAAGTACGTAAAGAAAGTTATCGTGTTACAGTTATTTTAAATGAAACGCAAAATTTGGTTCAGTCCTGCCAATGTAAAGATTGTGCCACACATTTTCACAATCAAAAGTGAAAAACAATTTATTTGGATACTTTGTTGAAGTACATAGACACATTGGCACAAAACATGAGTCAACACGGCTTTTTTTCGGATTATTAGTGGTATTGTTATGGTCACCTGATGTTGATGGATAGTCCATTTTAAATTTTTACAAAAAAATATCTCGAAAGTCGAAAAAATATGCAAAATATGATAATTGAAAGCCAGCGACGAACAAGTACGACCAGTGACAGACAGGAGTAACGTCATCGGAACCATAAGTCCGTTTTCGCGCGAAAATTTAAACTGTCAATTCCAAACCGCATTTTTTCCGATAAATTACAATGTTTTAATTTTTTAATATATCTGTGGTTTATTCTACATGGAATTCTTTAAAATTAAAACAAAAATAAAAATATTGCATCTTCCCTATTTGGTGTGAAGAAAACTTTACGGCGGTTGTCAAGTAAGCAGCGAACTCAGTCAAGACATTTGGACGAAGAATCTCCATATAAATCTAAAATATTATGAATAGAATCATCCCCAATGAAAAGATAGATCATATCAAATGAATAATATAAAAGTTCCGGTAATATATTTATTTGTATTAAAGCTGCTTCCCACCCATTAGCGATTTCATAAAAGATATAATGAGCCGAAAATCTATGTTCTTTGTATGTACACTCACAGAGGTGTGGTTGTTCATCGTCTCCGTCGGCGCAGTCGTTGTATCCGTCGCAAACTACCGACTCCGGCACGCAAGTGTAGTCACTACATCTGTTATACGTACAAAACCAACAATTAAATAAAAAATAACATTTTTTTTATTTAAAGTCTAAAATCTGCTTAGTTTTGTATTTATATATATATTATTTATTTATATTCCTTTATATATTTTATAGTATAAAAAAAATTACCATTGAAAAAATAGTGTGTGTCTAAAAACGTTAGTTAAAATTAGACACTTTTCACATGCATTTTAATCGCTCTCTATTTTAGAACTCTTGGTGTGACGTCACAGTCCATAGCAACCTAGCACCAAAACAAACAAGTCCTCAGTTAGATTAGAAGGTTAATTGCGCGCGCACTATCCACTCGCATTAGGTCTCGTTGCTTTTGACATATCCTGTAAACTTGGTATTTGTACATTGTTGCTATGTACCACTACGTCACAACCGCTGTGTTGCGTTTCAGATATTTGAATTTATCACAAACTTATCGCAATTTTGAATAATTAATTTATTGTTCAAAGAGAATATTTTTTCAAATATTGATGCTAAAAACAAATAATTTGAGCTTTATTTAAATTACATTCATATTCCATATTGAATATATGCGAAATCAAGAAAGATTTGATCGAAAAGTGTCAAGGTAAAAGCCTTCGGAAGACCTGAGGCAATTTTTTTTTTATTTTATGCATTCAACTGGGGGATAAATAAATCCTTAGAGGCAAAGAAAATATTACTAAAACAAACATAACTTAAGAGTCAGGCCGCGTTGTTTAATTCATAGTTAAATACGACCATAGTTAATGTCGCGTTGAATACATAGGAAACATGTAAAATTTTATCAAAAGGTTAATTTTGGTCTAGTTTTTCACTTATAGTAAAACTAGCAAACCAGTGAACCAAATGTTCACCAAAACCTGATTAAAAAAAAACTGTATTAAATTAATTGAGAACTTCGGAGATTTTGTGTGGTTTCGTTTGAAATTCGTGATTTCTCGAAAACCGGAAGTGCTACGTTACTCAAATCCGGTTTGTAGTCTTATCAGACTATTCTTAACTTATAACTTAAACATTCTCTTTATCTATCTCTTACGGTTTGGCCGCTGAAACAGCACCACAGACGGACGGACGGACTTGTCTAATAGATAAGAGATTTGAAGGTAGTCGAGTAACCTGAACATATGTTCCTGGCACGGCTTGTTCCTACAATCGGTTTCGTCCGCATGATCGACGCAGTCGGCGCGTCCGTCGCAGCCCCAGGCGGCGGGCAGGCACCGCGCGCCGCACCGCACCCGCGCCGCATCGCACCGCATCGCAGCCGCACCAGCACCCGCGCCCGCGCCCGCGCCCGCGCCCGCTGCCGCTTGTGCGTCGCAAGATAGTTCGTCCGACCCGTCCTCGCAGTCCGCCTCGCCGTCGCACCACCATTCGCTGTACGATACATTATAATTTAATAGCCAGTTTCAATAATCTACCTTCGGTAATAGGTAAGGATGATCCGGTTATCATTGTAGACTCAATAAAAGAATTATCTTAGCGACAAATCTCGAGTAGGCCTCTTCCTGAAGTTTGATTATTGAAACTGGCCGTTAGTAGAATGTAATTTTAAGATATCATTTTATTCATTTGCAATAATAAAAAATGTTATCTAAAATATATGTGAATTATCAAGATAAGGAATAGATAAAATGAGCGCAATGCTTTCTAATTTCATATAATTATTGTATTTTATTTATGATTGACTGAAATTAAATAAATTATTCCGATATTAACAAATATCTTGTATGATCTTAATAAAATAAATAAATACTAGCAAACCAGTGAACCGAATGTTCACCAAAACCTGATTTAAAAAAAAATGTATTTTATTAATTGAGAACTTCGGAGATTTTGTGTGGTTTCGTTTGAAATTCGTGATTTCTCGAAAACCGGAAGTGCTACGTTAGTCAAATCCGGTTTGTAGTCTTATCAGACTATTCTTAACTTATAACTTAAACATTCTCTTTATCTATCTCTTACGGTTTGGCCGCTGAAACAGCACCACAGACGGACGGACGGACGGACTTGTCTAATAGATAAGAGATTTCCAACACACATCAATTAGTCTAGCCCCAAAGTAAGCACTGTGAGGCTTGTATTATGGGATACTATTGTAACGGATAGAATGCATATCATCATCAGCCTATTAATGTCCCTACTGCTGGGGCACAGGCCTTCCCTATGGACGGAATAGGGGAGTTTGGGCCATGACCCACCACGCGGGCCCAGAATGAATGTATATGCACAAGGTCTGGCAGTGCGGGCACATTGTCGGCCGCAGTCAGCCTCGTCGCCGGTAGTGACAGCAGTGATCATTACTTGGGCACGCAGGCCTGGCCGCCGGCGCAGGGTCTGGCAGTGCGGGCACATTGTCGGCCGCAGTCAGCCTCGTCGCCGGTAGTGACAGCAGTGATCATTACTTGGGCACGCAGGCCTGGCCGCCGGCGCAGGGTCTGGCAGTGCGGGCACATTGTCGGCCGCAGTCAGCCTCGTCGCCGGTAGTGACAGCAGTGATCATTACTTGGGCACGCAGGCCTGGCTGCCGGCGCAGGGTCTGGCAGTGCGGGCACATTGTCGGCCGCAGTCAGCCTCGTCGCCGGTAGTGACAGCAGTGATCATTACTTGGGCACGCAGGCCTGGCCGCCGGCGCAGGGTCTGGCAGTGCGGGCACATTGTCGGCCGCAGTCAGCCTCGTCGCTGTGGTCGGCACACTCGGCCCCGCCGGAACAACGCAGCGCGCCGCGGATGCAGGACCCGTCGCCGCATCTATACACATAATATATTATATTATATAACACGACACGATCATCAGCAGTCTATAAATGCCCTAACCTAGGCCTTAAACGTATTATTACCTATGTAAGTCAATGTGTCATTATTTTATTCTTTGACAAAAGACACAATAAATTATTCATTATGCTAAAAGGTTTTTTCAGTCTGTAAATGATTGTATTATTCATTTCTAGAAATAAAAAATATCTGTTGTCTATAAGTGAATGACAACGTAATGTTGGCGTGCTTCTTCGCCTATTCAGTATTCTTATGCACAGCATACCTATAATGTGAGGTACCTGAACTCTGACTCGGTGCAAGGCCTGGGCTCGCAGTCCTCCTCGTCCCCGCCGTCATCACAGTCGGGCTCCCCGTCGCAGCGCCACCTGCCGGGCACGCAGCGCCCGGTCCCGGTCCCGGTCCCGCACCGGTACAAGTACAGCATACCTATAATGTAAGGTACCTGAACTCTGACTCGGTGCAAGGCCTGGGCTCGCAGTCCTCCTCGTCCCCGCCGTCATCACAGTCGGGCTCCCCGTCGCAGCGCCACCTGCCGGGCACGCAGCGCCCGGTCCCGGTCCCGGTCCCGCACCGGTACAAGTACAGCATACCTATAATGTAAGGTACCTGAACTCTGACTCGGTGCAAGGCCTGGGCTCGCAGTCCTCCTCGTCCCCGCCGTCATCACAGTCGGGCTCCCCGTCGCAGCGCCACCTGCCGGGCACGCAGCGCCCGGTCCCGGTCCCGGTCCCGCACCGGTACAAGTACAGCATACCTATAATGTGAGGTACCTGAACTCTGACTCGGTGCAAGGCCTGGGCTCGCAGTCCTCCTCGTCCCCGCCGTCATCACAGTCGGGCTCCCCGTCGCAGCGCCACCTGCCGGGCACGCAGCGCCCGGTCCCGGTCCCGGTCCCGCACCGGTACAAGTACAGCATACCTATAATGTGAGGTACCTGAACTCTGACTCGGTGCAAGGCCTGGGCTCGCAGTCCTCCTCGTCCCCGCCGTCATCACAGTCGGGCTCCCCGTCGCAGCGCCACCTGCCGGGCACGCAGCGCCCGGTCCCGCACCGGAAGTACGTGGGCTCGCACGCGCCCGCCTTCAAGCCTAGCTCCGTGCTCGTGCAGTTAGCCTGTATGAAACGAAAACATTACACAATATCAAGAAATTCCTAATCATATAGTTGGATAAGTGTCTTGTCCCTACATAGACAATTAATCAAAGGGTATTTGTCAGTATTAAAAATAAAGTGCCAATTGTTAGCATCTGTGCTTAGAATGAATATTGGCAGGGGATTTTACTATTTTTACAAAAAAAATAATCATAATTTTACTAAAAACACACGAAAAAGATAACAGTTTTCTTATCTATTGTCACGTGACCCAAAACGTTTGGGATTGGCGGAGCCTAAAATGACGTCACACGAAAGTAAACTTTCGGTTAAAGTGACAGTACATTGTATCGTTTGACGTTTTAATAACAGTCGTGTGACGTCACACGCTAGTAAGACGCCATATTGTCCAGAGAAACGTTTTCGCGGCAACTTGAAAATGGAGTTTTTGATTTGGTTATTTTTACTGAAATACACAACAGAATGATGAATATCCACTTTTTACGGACTCCATAAACATTAGTCTATAAGGTGAGATCGTTTTCTGATACTTGTCAAATACCCTATTGGAATAAAGTTCTTCGTTTTATTACTTATCATTATCAGCTTATTAATATTACCCCCCGCCCCTGCTAAAGGCTGGGAATGTACCCCTTCCCTATGGATGGAATAGGGAGATTGGGCCCTGACGCGAGCTCACTGCGGATTGGTGGGTGCTAACGACTTCAGATGCTACTAGAACCGTCGGCTTTACGTGTCTTCCGAAGCACGGGGTCGTAAATTTTTGGTCACCCATCTAATCGGATTTATTAATACTGAATTAAAAGTTATTCAGTTGCAATATTTACAAAGGTAAACATTAATAACTAAAATTTGTAAACAATACAATACACTTTATTGTACACTACAGAAAATATTGCATGTAGTACATAACCAATTAAACCTAGTGTAACAATGGGCGGCCTTATCGCTAAGAGCGATCTCTTCCTGACAACCTTTGGATGGAGAGGACTAGAAGGAAGTTCCGAGAGACAGCGACGTAAATCACTTGAGTGATATAGGTAATAATTTATACATACATATGGGATAGCACATATACAATTTGCGACTGACCACTTGCATCTGTGGACCCCAACTCAAACAATGAGGGCTATCGCGTATGAATCCGCCGCTAGAGGCGCTAGTGTAGCGTGAGGTCTCCGAAATGTCAAATGTTATTGCTTGTTGGTTGACTACGTGGGTTTATTTCTAATTAAAATAATGTTGTGAATAATTGGTAACAATTCGGCTTAATTATGGCAAATATGAGTTATGTGGCAATGAATGTCAGTTATTAAAAATTTGAGCTTAGAAAAATGATTATGTTCCCATTTTTTCCGAATAAAACGAAACTGCGCGTCACTGTGGCATGGCCTATTATGTTTAGGATATGGTTCTTTTGTGTTAAAATACGATCTAAATGTAACCTTTGATTTCATGTGCGTATTAATAACTTTAAAAATTACAATTTAGGACCTCACTCAACAGTGGCGCCATCTGGTGAGGTAGAAAACGGTAGCCCTCATTGTCGAATGTTAACCCCAAGTTTTTTACCCACGCGCTAAAAAAAACATTATTACCAGCCAGTTAGATATTGGGTAATGACCGCTAGTCTACTCTGTCTTTCATCCTAGAATTACCTACTATTATGTTAGTAATACTATTGTGTTAGTAATTACCTCTTACTATCATAAAAGTAAACATCCCAAACTTAATTTTGGCTTAAATGGTAAAATTATTGAAAATGTTTCACAAACAAAGTTTTTGGGTATAATTCTAGACAGATTCTGTGACTGGAAGCAACATATACATGAAATGTGCTCAAACAAAATCAATTTGTATTTGCACTTGCAAGAATTAGTCAAATTGTATCACAAAATGCTGCTTTTACAGCTTACAATGGCTATATAAATTTTACCTTACGCTATAGAGTTTTAAATTGGGGTAATTTTGTTCATAGAAATAAAGCATTTTTAATACAAAAAAAATGTATTTGTGCTATATTTGGTTTGAAGCAAATTGATTCCTGTCGACCTTACTTTAGAAACTATAAGCTGTTGACTTTGCCTTGCCTGTATATTCTTGATATATGTACATTTGTACACCAAACTTAAGTATCTATTTAAAGAGAAACATCAAATTACTAATCGATATTTACGCTCAGTTTATAAAAATAAGCTCCGTAGGCATGCTATAAAATTGTCTTTAGCAGCTAAAAACACTTTTATTATGTGCATTAAAATTTACAATAAATTACCAGACAAGTTCAAAGAACTAAAACAGTTTTTGTTCTCAGGCTTGTACTCGTATTATACACAATGACATTCATCTATGATTCTTCTTATACCTGCATGCAAAGTAGCCGAAGCCCGATCGGTTTAAAATTGACAAAGTTTCATACAATCTTTCATTCACTATTTTATCCCATTGAATTGATCAAAATCCTTTCTTAGCGGACGCCTACGTCATAACATCTACCTGCATGCCAAATTTCAGCCCGATCCGTCCAGTGGTTTGGGTTGTGCGTTGATAGAGGACTGTGTCAGTCAGTCAGTCACCTTTGAGTTTTATATCTTTATATATATAATTCTTCTGTGAGTGTGTATGTGACTGAACTTCTCTTAAACGACTGGACCGATTTTGATGAAATTTTTTGTGTGTGTTCAAGGGGATCTGAGAATGGTTTAGATTCACAATTTTGTCCGCTGGACAACCCCTATTTTTTAGGGCGGTACGAAGTTCGCTGGGTCAGCTAGTATATATAGATTATTATTAGTAATCTTAGAGGATATAGAATATGAATATTTGCAAAACTCACACCAATCAGCCTAGCCCCAAAGTAAGCACTATAAGGCTTGTGTTATGGGATACTAGGGTAACGGATAGAATACATATACTGTACATATATAAGTATACTTTTATAGAAATAAATATTAAACATCCATGACTGGAATACAAATGCTCGTATTCATCACCCAAACATCTGCATTTACCGGGATTCGAACCCGGGACCTCTCGAGTCGACGACACTATGAAACCCGGCGTACAAACCACTCAGCCACGGAGGTCGTCGCCGCTATCGTCCTGATATCGTATATAGATTGCTATTAGCAGCTCAAGTGATGTTTGGCGAAGGATTTGGAAGTTATCTCCATACAGGTGGTGGGAAGAAGAAATATTATTTGGGCTCCCACCGTATGCGTACATACCTCGTCCTCGTGCTGCATACAGTCGGGCTCCCCGTCGCAGCGCCACGCGAGCGGCACGCAGCGGCCGGTATGGCACCGCAGCTCGCGGGGCAAGCAGCGCCAGGTGCCGCACAGTGCCCCCTCGTCGGACCCATCGGCACAGTCCGCGTCGCCGTCGCACACCCACACGCGGGGCACGCACCCGCCCCCCGTCTCGCACGCCAACTGTGCATACGATCAAACTTTATCGGTCTCTCTGGGGGCCTCCCGCCCATCGGGATTGCTATATTATAGCTGTAGCTATAGCTTGCGGTTTCGTTTTGCTATATCTGACCACCGAAAGTTTCCAAATACCTTACGCTCATTTCCATTAAAATTATTACTAGCAATGCAAAAAAGCGAAGTGATTGAAAACTTTCGGCGGTCAAAATAATGAAATAAAATCATAAGATATAGCAATAGCAATCCCGATGGGCGGGAAGCCCCCAGGCCGATGTTTATTCGTATACCTTATCTAAAAGTGTGCGCAAACTGAGAGACATTTAGGAAAAAAGTATTTGAAAAAGCTATTGCTGTCACGTATTGACAAAAACCTTGCGACAGGAACAACATTACGACGACGGGTCACCTGGTAAGAAGACTGGCAGTGTCGGCCGTTGCCTAAATAAGTAGGTGTCTACACCGCCGGGGACCATGTTCACGACCAGCACTACTTTTTATATAGAACGTGTGTAAATAAGTCATTTTTTATACCCTTTCATGTAAATATTCCCATAAGTAAAAAAGAAAATAAATTAGTGTCATTGAGAAACAATTGCTTTTTACTTTACATTTTGGCGATTATGTATTTGTTACTCGACATTTTACCCAAATCAATAAATACATTACATCCCAACCTCTCTCGAATGTGTAGTTTACTTGACTTGATAGAAGCGGGGTAATACAGTTTGTCGTCAGTGTGTAGTATAGTGTAGTGTATGAATTAAGACCTGTACCATAACATATAACAATTGACTGCTACACACATACTGCTGACGTAACACTTATGTTTTATTATAATATTCACGTAGTTCTGAAGACTTACTAACACGATTCCTCCACCATGCCTCCGACTGATCTAGCACAACACCAGGTGACTCTAAATTCAAGATTCAATATCGTTTATTCAGTCTAAGCTGTTACAAGTACTAAGACATCCTAATATACAACATGGCGACCCTATAACACGTACGATATAAGAGTAACCATATTGCATGGCTTCTGAATTTAAATTTTGATGAAGCCGAGAACATATTAATTTAGAATGTAACTTCACTGGAACTCCGAAAATATACCTACTAAGTCACAAATATACACACAATCCAACATATTATACACTTACCACAAACTTATTTTTCATATTATAAATAATAATTTCATTTAAACTTAAGCAGTTTTGTTTATTTATTTATTTATTTCCATTTGGGAAACATACAGTTTTACACAAATCAATTTAGTAACACTTATTACTATTTCATAAACCAGTTAAGTTTCCACAGACTGAAACATTCATAAACTTGCATAATTTACTTAAGATTACGTACAATATTTAGAATTGTGTGAATAAAAGAAAATAATAACTATGGATAATTATAAATTTTAATAATTTTGCAGGGATATGGGCTGGGGGCCTTGTGTTCTATTATACAGGCAGTTTACTGCCCAGTTTAGACACCAGTCTCTCCACAATATATTACTGTAAATATATTCGTTGTTAATACAAACAATATTTTATGCCTGTAACAAAATATTTGTATTGTGGTGAGAATAAAATAAACATTATTATTATATATATTATTATTATTAGGTGGCGGCGGGACAGTCCCGTTTCCCGTCGCAGCGCGCCGCGCCCGGGATGCAGCGCGCCGCCATATAACCTATGATACTACAGTAGACTCACATGTTGGGGCGGGCAGGTGGCGGCGGGACAGTCCCGCTCGTCGTCGGCGGCGGGACAGTCCCGTTTCCCGTCGCAGCGCGCCGCGCCCGGGATGCAGCGCGCCGCCATATAACCTATGATACTACAGTAGACTCACATGTTGGGGCGGGCAGGTGGCGGCGGGACAGTCCCGCTCGTCGTCGGCGGCGGGACAGTCCCGTTTCCCGTCGCAGCGCGCCGCGCCCGGGATGCAGCGCGCCGCCATATAACCTATGATACTACAGTAGACTCACATGTTGGGGCGGGCAGGTGGCGGCGGGACAGTCCCGCTCGTCGTCGGCGGCGGGACAGTCCCGTTTCCCGTCGCAGCGCGCCGCGCCCGGGATGCAGCGCGCCGCCATATAACCTATGATACTACAGTAGACTCACATGTTGGGGCGGGCAGGTGGCGGCGGGACAGTCCCGCTCGTCGTCGGCGGCGGGACAGTCCCGTTTCCCGTCGCAGCGCGCCGCGCCCGGGATGCAGCGCGCCGCCATATAACCTATGATACTACAGTAGACTCACATGTTGGGGCGGGCAGGTGGCGGCGGGACAGTCCCGCTCGTCGTCGGCGGCGGGACAGTCCCGTTTCCCGTCGCAGCGCGCCGCGCCCGGGATGCAGCGCGCCGCCATATAACCTATGATACTACAGTAGACTCACATGTTGGGGCGGGCAGGTGGCGGCGGGACAGTCCCGCTCGTCGTCGGCGGCGGGACAGTCCCGTATCCCGTCGCAGCGCGCCGCGCCCGGGATGCAGCGCGCCGCCATATAACCTATGATACTACAGTAGACTCACATGTTGGGGCGGGCAGGTGGCGGCGGGACAGTCCCGCTCGTCGTCGGCGGCGGGACAGTCCCGTTTCCCGTCGCAGCGCGCCGCGCCCGGGATGCAGCGCGCCGCCATATAACCTATGATACTACAGTAGACTCACATGTTGGGGCGGGCAGGTGGCGGCGGGACAGTCCCGCTCGTCGTCGGCGGCGGGACAGTCCCGTTTCCCGTCGCAGCGCGCCGCGCCCGGGATGCAGCGCGCCGCCATATAACCTATGATACTACAGTAGACTCACATGTTGGGGCGGGCAGGTGGCGGCGGGACAGTCCCGCTCGTCGTCGGCGGCGGGACAGTCCCGTTTCCCGTCGCAGCGCGCCGCGCCCGGGATGCAGCGCGCCGCCACGCCAGTGCGAGCGTCGCCCGAACATTTCCATTGCGATGATAGGCATGTGAACTGTGGGACGACAATTATGTAAGGGGGTGGCTAGACCAGTAAACTGTTTAAAATTTATTTATTTATTTATTTTATTAGACACACCAATAACAATATCACAATTATTACATAAAAAGAAAAACAAATGGGTATAACAAGTCTATGTGAATTATTTTTTAAGGTGCATACAGCAATTTCTATACATTTTTGGCACAATACTAGTCTCTAAAGTTATTCTTCAAATATTTACATGAGGTAAGTTAATTGTTACTCGTAGAGTTATTTGTTACTCAATCGAGAATATTTTCTTTTTCAATGCTGAGAAAGATAGGTGACAGATATCAATGTCATCGGATTTATCGTTACACGTCTCCATCAATCGACTTAGGGGTGCCACTATCTTGGTTCGGAAAAACGGTTTTGTAAATGGCAAGATTGGATAACGTGGAATTGTTCTTGGAACTGTGAAATTAATTTCAGCAAGCATATCGGGTACATTAATATTTCCATTAACCAACTTATGAAGCAACAAGATGTCGGCACATTTTCTTCGTTTCTCCAGAGTGTCAATTTTTAAATGTTTCAGACGATTTTCATAATTTGCGCGATAGGGACAGTTAGGATTTTTGAATGCCAAAAATTTTGTGAACTGGCGCTGGATTCGTTCTATTCTTTCTTTATGAATTTTGTACTGTGGATTCCATACGCAAGAGGCATATTCCAAAACAGTACGAACGAGAGAACTGTACAAGCACAAAATTGCAGTTGAATTATGAAAATCCCTGCAAATCCTTTTCAAAAAACCCAACATTCTCCACGCTTTATTAATAATAACGTCAAGGTGGTTTACAAAAGTGAGTTTTTCATCCAGTATGACACCCAGATCACGAACGGCTTTGACCCGAGATAGTTGCTTGGAGTCAATTGAGTATGTAGGTGTGTGAATAATTTTATTTTTAGTAAACTTAATAACAAAACATTTATCCGCATTGAGTACCATTTTATTGAAATGGCACCATTCTTGTATAGCATCCAGATCATTCTGTAATAAATTTACATCATCTTGACTCTTAATTGGCCGATATAATTTCAAATCATCAGCAAATATCGAGCATTTGCTATGTTTAACTATTTCAGGTATGTCATTAACAAAAATTAGAAAGAGCACAGGACCCAGAATAGAGCCCTGAGGAACTCCTGAAGTTGCCGTGAAAGATCTGGATGTATAACCGTTAATAACGACCCTCAGCACCCGATGCTTTAAATACGATTTAAACCACAAAAGCAGGGGTCCATGAATGCCGTACCGTTTTAACTTGTGGATTAAAATATTATGGTCCACCTTGTCGAACGCGCTGCTGAAGTCTGTGTAAATAGAGTCCACCTCACCACCGGAGTCGATTTGTTTGCTTAACTGATTCGTGTAACATATAAGGTTAGTCACCGTACTTTTTTTCGGACAAAAGCCATGTTGACTCTCGCTGAGGAACGTTTTGCAGTGGGAATTTAAGATAGGACAAAGGATTTTTTCAAATATCTTGCTAAAAGTATTTAAAATTGACACAGGTCTGTAGTTAATAATATCATATTTCTCACCTTTTTTGAAAATTGGAACTATGTTAGTTTCTTTTAGTGCATCCGGAAAAACAGAAGTATTGAGAGAAGCTGAAAAAATTATCTTTAGAGGCAGCGCGATATATTTACAGGTTTTCTGAATGAAAATAGGAGGAATTCCATCTGGGCCTGCACCCTTACTTATATCTAGCCTTGAGATAATTTTCACTATCATACGTTCTGTAATACTGATGCTACCCAAAGAGAGCTGCGGGTACATGTCACAAGATACAGCGTTTTCCGTTGTTTGCCCGCGGTTGCTATGAGAGTAAACACTAGAAAAGTGTTTCGCAAACAGATTGCATATTGCGTCACCGGATTTTGCAGTCTCAGAATTTAAGTGAAGTTCTTTGGGAATTTCAGAACTACCACCACGCAAATTTTTGACGTATGTCCATATACTTTTGGAATTACGGGTTATTTTATTTTGGATATTATTTAGATACTCATGATGGCATTTTTTCATAAGTTTTTCAACTCTTCTACTGGCGCATTTTAGTTCCACAAGATCTCTTGGGTTTGCATATTTTTTAAAACGTGATCGTATTTTGTCGTGTTCGAGTTTTAATTTAATCAAAGTACCTGAGAACCATGGCGGATATTTCTTATTACGGACTTTAATTTTTGGAACATGGGATTCAATTATTTCTCTTATGATAGAATAGAAACTACTCATCATGACATTGACATCTTCACCACTTAAACACAACTGCCAATTCACCTGAGCCAACTTTTTATTAAGAAGAGCATAATCTGCACGGTTGAAATTATGTGCTGCATATAGTCTACTTTCAAGAACTGGTGTTGCCTTATGCGCAACAACAATTTCAAGCGCAGGGTGAAAACCGTCAAGTTTGCTCAGGATATTGACAGATTCTATGATATTGACATTGACACTAGTGATGTTAGTAAGTACCAGATCTAATATTCTTTGCGTTTTGTTTACAACATGATTAGCTTGATGTAGATGATAACGAGAAAGAAAGTCCACAAAAGTATATCCTAATGAACTCTCATAATTTGATGGCGACATATATACATCCTCGGTATTCCTAGACCAATTCAAAAAGCTTAAGTTAAAATCTCCAATTATTAGAACTTCAGTGGTATTAGCGTCAATGACCCTGTTGATGTTTTCAATAATAGAATTTAAAACATTGTATGAAACAGGTGGTGGCACGTAAACAGCACAAATTAAAAGGTTCATCACTGCCTTATTTACTAAAGTTTTTACAGATATCCAAAGATCCTCATTGTCACTCTCATAATATCTTAAACGTTTCGTTTCTAAGTGTTTCGAAGCCGCTATTAAAACTCCGCCTCCTCGCTTGTTCCTCGATGAAGTTGACTGTCTATCTCTTCTATAAACTATATACTTATCATTAAGTACCTCATTGTCGTTAATATTTTCATCCAGCCATGTCTCTGTAGCGACTATGATATCATATGAGTTATTAAGCGAAGCTAATCTTATATCAGGTAATTTTGTTCGCACGCCACGAACATTTTGATAATATACATGAAGCATTTTTAATGGTAGATGTACGGTCCAAGTTATTGCACAGTTACTTTAGAATCTATTTAAATCTTGTAAGGATTTGATTTGGGAGGCTGGTGATTCATCATCTTTACGAATGAATATATGGCCATTTCGGATCCACACATACTTGAAGCCCTTTTCTCGAGCTAATTTTCTCGTTTCAGCGTGAAGTCCCTTCATATGTGGGCTGAGATGTTCAGTCACATAAACCGCTGATGCATCTCCACCGTACCCCAGATGACCAGAGTTCAGCTTTTCCTTTGGATGGGCTTTATTGAATTTTACAACTGCCGCCAAAACACCATCCCTAATACGTGCACTAGCTAGTTTAACTATTACAGAGCGTGGTCTTTTAGTTGTAGCATCAAACTTTCTAACCCTGCTGTATGACAGAATATCGGAGTCTTCTAAAGGATGAGATATTGCATTACCTAGTTGTTTAAGCATGGCCGGAATATTTTCGGATTTACTTTCCGGAACGCCATTTACCTCGATGTTACTTTCGCGGCAGTGCTGTTCGATCAAGTTTAATCTTGTTGACAATTCATGCACAGTAGTTGAAAGCCTGATATTATCCTTCTTCAATAGCATCAGCTGTTCGTCGTGGCTTTTGATATCAGATTTAATTGTATCATATTCTTGACTCAAGTAATCTATGGTTATTTTAATTTCCTTCAAAATACTGAGTTCATTTTTTATATCTTGGAGATCAGTTTCAAATTTTTGTACTGCACTGACTACTGCGCTGGTCACAGCTGATTGGATTTCCTGCTTAATTATAATCAATACCGCTGGATCAAGTTGCATGACAGGCGAACTAGCTTGCATTTTGTCGACCACTTCTAAAGGGTGACCCCCCTCAATATCAATTCTATTACTACTCCGAATCGGAGTATCCGAGTTATCACCAACCTTGGGTTGCTTACTTTTACATACGGGACACTTCCAAGCGCTTTTAGCTTCTTTAGATAGTTTCTTGTAATTTTCCTTCGTAATATTTACACAGTTGTAGTGAAATACTCCGGGACACTTAGTGCACGATATTTTATCAGAGACCGATATCAAATTCTTACATCCACCACACGAACTCATGTTGAAGTAATTTTCCCCTAAATCGGTAAACTATTTTCAGTGTGGTAGGTAGGTAGGTAGGTTGTCAAGTTGAATAGTGACACTGTCACTTGGACTTGACGTCGCGAAATATAAATGTTTATGGCGGTAGAAGTATAAACACTGTTTACGATAGTTAATTTGTGATCTAATTTATAGTAATACACTTTATGAATTATGTGGAAAACGTTTGTACGGGATGTTCCAACTACACTTATCACTGTGAACAAAACTTGATGGCAAATACTGTAAGTTATAACACTATAAAATATTTGAAAGAGTAGTACGAATGTTGCCAATCACTTTTTTTTTTGTATGTATATAATTAAACTAATTAAATTAGAATTAATGAAAATACTAAATAATAGACTAACAGGAATAAACAATAAATAACATAAGTCATAGATAAACACAAAGAATATAAGGATCCTTATAAAAGGAGGCTAGTACAGGATACGGCGCGAGGTTATCGGTGACAAATAAGATTACTGTTTTATAGGTACGATCGAACCGATTGATTCCTGACCGAAATTCGCTTCAAAATATCATAACGGACAAGTTTTCCTTTATAGAGAATGCGTAATGGCTGTAAGGACCTTCTAATAGCAAGGAAACTGTGTTAATATGGATACTTAAAATTTTACTTTTATTTTCAATGCAATAGACCATAAGATAAAATTAAGACTAACTAAGATAAAATTTAAATAGTATTTTTAAATATCAAAATCACTTTTAAAATCGTAAATTTAACAGAAACTTGAACTCGGTTTCTTGACATTATAACAATCGTTGATAAACTAATAGGGAAATCCTTAGTCCATGGACGAAACCCAAAAAAATCTAATTAGAATTATATGTCACAGGAAGATGGCATAATCTGTCACGTCAAATAGGATTGTTCAAAAAAATAACACGTTTGTTTTCAAACATCCCTGGAGGGATGCATACATTTAAGCAAAAATCTACCTTATTGGTAAATGAAATGGTTGTAACATAATATTGTGGGTCAAGAATCAAATTGAGCGATTGTACATGGATTGAAAAGTCGTATCGTAGATTTTAATCCTCTGGTTTGTTTTAACACTAGGAACCTAAGAACTAAAATAATCATTGGGAAGTTCCAAGTAAGCTAATAGTAAATTTTTTAATATTTGTTACATAAACTTTATTAAGACAAGTATAAGAACAAATTTTCTGCTTTTGTATAATTTTAGCACACCCTGCCTTAGCAAAGGCTAACATTCGGGAGGATAGTTTTAGTTAACATCTGATAAGAGAAATGGAACATCAAAAATACTTTAATAAAAAAGAAATACTACATAATATCACCCACATCAAACTATTTTACTTATCATTCATCATACTCCTTTTTATAATTTTTTTGCTTGCCGTTACTTGGTTTTTATAATTTTTACTAGTGTTATATAGCAATGATACAATGACTAACTTTCTTTAAATATGAATTCGTATGCATCTCTAATAAACTGTAAATGACGCAACGCACAACCTGTCAGGATTATTTTAGGAACATAAAATATGAAATTCATTAGAAAATATAACTAGAAAAAATTCCACGCGGACCAGGCAGCAGACGGGGCTCGAACCCGCACCCTTCGCTATCCGGGCGAATGCACCGACCAATTATGCTACCGCGGCCCTGATGGCCGCGTTGAAATTCCTCTAGCCATCCTTAAGCTGCAAGAAGCTCGAGTCCCGTCTGCTGCCTGGTCCGCGTGGAATTTTTTCTAGTTATATTTTCTTTACATTTAAACATCAAGCAGTTACATGCTTTGAAAAGAAAAAATATGACTATGAAATTCATTTGTTTATTTGAAATTTTACCTGATCGCAGTCCCGCTCATCGCTGCCGTCTTGACAATGCGAGATTCCATCACAGATGTGTGCCGGGTGTAGGCACCTCGCAGGGGTGACGTCGGCCGTAGTATCGTCGGTGGTACTGGTACTGGTGTCCCTGGTACTGGTGGTGGTGTGGTTGCCGCCGTAGTGGGTGGCGCCGCACTGGAACTGTCCGGGCGCGCACCGGAAGCGCGGGCACCACGCGGGCTCGTCCGACCCGTCGCCGCAGTCGTCCTATCATAGATCACAAATTTTATTGCATTTCATGTGGGAATAAGGTCTAACATTATTATATGGTACGAACGCATGAGTCCCGTTAGGACATAACGATATTGAGCTTATAGCTAAAATTAAATTTATATCACCATTATAAGTAGTAGTATATTAACGATTATCAAATAAATGGTGTCGATTCTCTAAACTTAAAACTAAATTTAACATCGATCTCTCCTTTTCATTCCGTATAGAGAATGACAAGGATACACCGTTGTCAAATTTAAGTTTAGGTTTAGAGAATCATGTCAGAATTGACACCAATATCAAGTCAATTTTAGCAATATATAGAATTAAGAATAATAATAAGCATGTCAAGGTATCTTTAATATTTGAAATTATTGAAGTTATACTTCTTTAGGCGCGTTATGAAAAAATGATGAGAGTGAAATTTTAAGATGCGCGCGCATCAGTGTAACACAAAAAATTTTGTGTTTACCACACATTAAGAAAATCTACCAACAAAATAGAAATAGAATCTCTATTTAGTGGGTGCTAACGACTGCATTGTGAAGGCCTATCAAAAGTATTTATTAATCTGGAACAACGGAACCAAAGCGCGATTCAGGAGACTACAGCGCCATCTCTTGACCATTGGTGTAGTAGAACCAAAAACCACATCTTTATTTTTCAATGTTACTTTTATGTTATTATTGTAATAAAGTAACAGTTATAGGTATTCATATTTATAATATTTATCCACATGTTTCTAGTTTGTATATTCGGAATACGTGTTTGAGTTTCATACAAGTGCAAATCACATATGTTCTAATAAATTATATTCAGTAGCGATATTATTATCATTTATTATATTTTGATCATTTATTTATTTTTTCAAATTAAAACTGAACTTTATTGACTGTGTCCTTTTCCAGACTTTTTATTAATTTATTGTAATTAATTATTTGCATGCAATTAAAAACTAATTTTAAACGATGCCAAAGAAGGATAACTTCTCACGCGCCTACATAAGTACACGCACCCATTTTTTAATAGTCCTATAGTATTGACATAATTTATAAAAACATTTATTAATAAGGTAATCATTTAAGGTTGTAACAAACTTATCATATTCGTCTATCTGTTTAATATGCTTTGGTAACTATGTACAGTTTAATCCTACACCAACACTTTGTCTATATTGACGACCTCCGTGTCCGGCTGGTTTGTACGCCGGGTTTGATGGTGTCGCCGACTCGAGAGGTCCCGGGTTCGAATCCCGGTGGGGGCCGGCGTTTGTGTGAGGAAAACGCGAACATTAGTACTCCAGCCACGAATGTTTGATATGTATTTATATATGTACAGTATATGTATACTATCCGTTACCCTAGCATCCCATAATGCAAGCCTTACAGTGTTTACTTTGGGGCTAGCCTAATTGGTGTAAGTTTTGGAAATATTTATTTATTTAATAACGAAAATTCACACTCATAAAGATGTGCAAGGGCATAATGGGTCGCAAAGATTGGAAATTATTTAATGGGGCATATTTGAAATCCTCTTTTGGTTTGCACCGATGTAAACGTTAGCAACTTTGTAAGCGAAGCATTCGCTAATTCTTACTATATGTAGATATCGGCGCAGATCTTTCCTTCCTATGTGATTCAGTTTGGCATTCGAAAAGCATATGCCCTAAAAGTGGAGGCACGAAGGTATGGTAATTGAATGAATATACCTATTTATATTTATAAGTTTAAAATTGCAAACATCAAATTTTTAGAAGACATCTAAATAAGCATAAACATCTTAAAAAAATAAAATTTTGTCTTTTATAGAAACGTTACCAATAAACAGAGAAACCTAATCAGCATTTTCTAAATCCAAGAAAACAACATTAATATTACATGAAATTCAAATGACACATTTCAAAGTATCACCTGCGTATCACACCGCCACTAGAATGGCCAACAAACGGCCGCCATTTTAATGCAGTTGTGCAATTGGGTCTGCAGCTGCGGCAGTCTGCAGCCAACACCCAGTGTTTGAGGCAGACATAACTACACAAAATCCAATGATAGCTAATAGAAATGTATCTGACCTGCGTATCGCACCGCCACCAGAAGGGGATACATTTCAAAGCAGTGGCGCAGACGAAGTGTGCAGCCGTGCAGTTGGGGCTGCAGCTGCGGCCGTCCGCAGCCAGCACCCAGTGCTCGGGGCAGGCGCAAGTGGCGGTAGTGGTGTCGTCGGGGCCGGCCCCGGGGCTCAGCAGGCACAGCCCCGAGCAATTCAGCGACGCACACAACGCAGATAACTCTATGGGATAACGGAAAGGTTGTTAAAATGCCCGCTGCACTCGTTGAGCTATATTTTGGTGCAAAGGTCTATATATATTGGAACTAGCCGTGCCCCGCGGTGTTACCCGCTATTTATTAGGGATTATCCCACAGTAAAACGTAGCCTATGTGTTAATCCAGGGTGTCGGCTAACTCCATACCTAATTTGATTAAAATCGCTCCGGACGTTTAGACGTGAAGAAGTAACAAACATATACACTCACAAACTTTCGCCTTTATAATATTACTAGCGGCCCGCCCTCGCTTCGCTTCGGTTTAGAGCTGAAGTGTAGACTACGGTTTTTGTTCTCAGGCTTGTATTATACACAATGACATTCATCTATGATTGTTCTTCTTATACCTGCATGCAAAGTCTCAGCCCGATCGGTTTAAAATTGACAAAGTTTCATACAAACTTTCATTCCCTATTTTATCAACTTGGGGTTAGAATTGATCAAAATCCTTTCTTAGCGGATGCCTACGTCATAACATCTACCTGCATGCCAAATATCAGCCCGACCCGTCCAGTGGTTTGGGCTGTGCGTTGATAGATCACTATGTCAGTCGGTCACCTTTGAGTTTTATTTATATAGATTAAGAAATTTTGAGTTGACTTGGAATATGTATGAAAATGAAAAGTCATTTATTCAGTCTAGGCTGTTACAAGCACTTGTGAAGGTTAAGAAGCTACGCCATCGGTTCGCAAAACTACGGCGGGAGACCTTGTACTGAGAAGAACCGGCAAGAAACTCAGCAAGGGCTGCTTTTTTCTCCCTGTATTGATATATATAGAGTCGTCAAGTTGAAAAATGACTTCAGAGTACTTCTGAAGTCACCTTCCATTACTTAGGATATAGTATGCGTATGATGGTATCACACCTGGCATGGGCGGCTGCCTGGCGGGGTGGTGTATCCGCAGGTCCATGGGTTTGTGGACGGCGCGGGTCACGGTGCGGCACTGCAGGGCGCCGCCCTCCCATGCGGCCCTAGATGAATTGCCTTCCTGCATCACACCACAACAATCAACAATATAATGTCAAATCTAATCTATATTAGTGTGGACGTATGTAAGAATGGAGCTCGATAGCGCTAGTGGTCAGCGCGTTCGGCTGCGATCGTTGAAGTTAAGCAACTAACGCAAAAGACGGTTCGGATTGGATGGGTGACCAAAAATCTTCTATCTCGAGTTCCTCCGTGCTTCAGAAGGCATGTTAAGCCGTTGGCACCCGCCAATCTGCACTGGGCCCGCGTGGTGGGTCATGGTCGAAATTTCCCTATTCCATCCATTGGGAAGGCCTGTGCCCCATCAGTGGGGACATTAATAGGCTGATGATGTAAGAATAAAATGAAACAGCATTAAAACATAAAAACAAACCCAAAGCTGTAAGTTACGGATTACATACAAAGTTTGGAAATTTGGTGTGGTTGCAAGGGAAAGTGAAAATCATTGATTAAAAAAAGTCATTCATCCGCGTAGGAAGCGAGATTTCCACCACTGAAAAACCGATGTTTGTCGGTAAGGGCTGTTCTTTTGAAATGACATATTAAAGATGTAATGCGAGATTCTACAGATGAACGATAAAATTCGTGGCAGTGTAAGTTTCACTTTAATAATGAAATATCCGCAATAAAATACAAGCAAGCAGGCAAGCACATATAGATGTGAAACCTATCCGAAACTCATAGCGCACAGACTGTACTTAATAAAAATTCAATTTCACTTTCCATAATAGCATAATAGCTACTGCTATTTATGTTATTATGGCCCTGGTCTCCCAGTCGCTCCAGTACCGCGGTGCAGGAGCTAACAGTGTGCAGTCAGCCGGTCAGCAGTCAGGTACGTACAGCGTGATGCCTGCGCGGCCTCAGCAGACAGGACTCGATGTCCCTGGTCTCCCAGTCGCTCCAGTACCGCGGTGCAGGAGCTAACAGTGTGCAGTCAGCCGGTCAGCAGTCAGGTACGTACAGTGTGATGCCTGCGCGGCCTCAGCAGACAGGACTCGATGGCCCTGGTCTCCCAGTCGCTCCAGTACCGCGGTGCAGGAGCTAACAGTGTGCAGTCAGCCGGTCAGCAGTCAGGTACGTACAGCGTGATGCCTGCGCGGCCTCAGCAGACAGGACTCGATGTCCCTGGTCTCCCAGTCGCTCCAGTACCGCGGTGCAGGAGCTAACAGTGTGCAGTCAGCCGGTCAGCAGTCAGGTACGTACAGTGTGATGCCTGCGCGGCCTCAGCAGACAGGACTCGATGGCCCTGGTCTCCCAGTCGCTCCAGTACCGCGGTGCAGGAGCTAACAGTGTGCAGTCAGCCGGTCAGCAGTCAGGTACGTACAGTGTGATGCCTGCGCGGCCTCAGCAGACAGGACTCGATGGCCCTGGTCTCCCAGTCGCTCCAGTACCGCGGTGCAGGAGCTAACAGTGTGCAGTCAGCCGGTCAGCAGTCAGGTACGTACAGTGTGATGCCTGCGCGGCCTCAGCAGACAGGACTCGATGGCCCTGGTCTCCCAGTCGCTCCAGTACACGCGGCCCTCCCATACTCCCAGCGCGAACACGTGGTGCAGACGAAGCCACGGCATGCGCTCTGTATCAGGAAAACAACATGTCAACATTCGTAGCCGAGTATCTTAGGAGGTAGCTAAAGTTATGTAGTAGAGAATATAGTAGCAATATCAGTACTAAAGGTATGTAGTAGAGAATATAGTAGCAATATCAGTACTAAAGGTATTTCGGTCGTTTACGCACACTTATTTTGTTCTATGCCGCGAAATAATCTAGTTCCATAATTAAATCTACATTTAATGTTGTCCCCGAATTTATCCGCGCAGAGAAATTGAAAGATTTAAATAAAACACAAAAAGTAGTAATAATAGTATTAATTTTTAGTCAGCCATTTTATAAAATTAACTTATAAAGTAAAACTTTGTAATTTTCTAAGGTACTCTGTTAGTTTATTAGTTCAATATTATAGTAGTTTTATACTCTGCGAAGACCTGGCGTTAGTTTTTAATTTTTTATTTATTACTGCCCAAGCCTTACTAAAAAAGTCACGTTTCAAAGTCCAGATGCATCAAGTGCTTTAATAAAAATGCCCTATGTTCGAAGCGAACAATTTCTAATAAACGTAGCGCGAAATCTTTTCGTTAACCTACTGTCTATAGAAGTGTACACTCAAACGCAATAGCATTAATTCTATGATTTAATACTTGTTCTGTCGTTGCACATAAGCTGGTGTAAAGATAACAACCGGGCCTCACCTCTAGAGAACAGGATGCGCACGTTGCCGCCGTCCATGTCGGCGACGGCGATGTAGTCCTCCCTGGCGTCCGCGAAGTATATGCGGTCCGTGTGGGGCGATAGGGTCAGGGCGTTGGGCCACGCCAGCCCCGCGGATATGAGGACCCGGCGCCCGCTGCCGTCCAGCCCCGCGCGACCTATGTGCGCGTCCGCGCCCCAGTCCGACCAGAACATCCAGCTGTAGGGGGGGATTCATCATTAAGTATATGCGGTCCGTGTGGGGCGATAGGGTCAGGGCGTTGGGCCACGCCAGCCCCGCGGATATGAGGACCCGGCGCCCGCTGCCGTCCAGCCCCGCGCGACCTATGTGCGCGTCCGCGCCCCAGTCCGACCAGAACATCCAGCTGTAGGGGGGGATTCATCATTAAGTATATGCGGTCCGTGTGGGGCGATAGGGTCAGGGCGTTGGGCCACGCCAGCCCCGCGGATATGAAGACCGGCGCTATATATATTTTGATGTAAATTTACTTATTTTTAAATACATTACTGCAATCATTACTCGATGGCGTGTGGCGGACTGGTCAATACGTTCCGTCTGTAATCGTAGAAGTTAACAGTTTTCGCAATAACCCATAATTTAAAACCACGAGTTTCTTCACACATCGAAAGACATGCTAAACCGTTGGTCCCAGTTGTATCTGTACTTGTTAGCACCCATTCTTACCCATCGATGTATATGAAAATTTCCTCCTAAATACCGGGAGCATCATATGATGCTCCCAGCGAGCATCACAAGATGCTCGCGGTCGTTGACGGACTCTTTTCCTTATAACTTCGGGTCTAAGATGTATTTTCGTATACGGTTTTCGGTATAACACAGATAAGTTAAAGAGCTACTGACGAATATCCAATCACAGGACACACAGTGAATAAAGAGACCACAATCACAAGTATCAACGCACTGTCAGTTGTGCGCAGTTGTGTGTGTGCCGTGTTGTGAAAGTTTTTGTGTGGTTTTCAACGGATTTTTAACAAAAAAACGTAAGTTAAGTGTTTTATTTCTCTTATTTATAGTATTTTTATTAGTTACAAATGTTTAGAACAGTGTTCCGTGTCGTATTATTTACATAAATCATTTCACAATACGTTCGGTCGGTCGCTGTCAGAGGTTTTTCTATGAGTGATTATTACATGATATATTCATGAAAACCTATAAAAACCATACATTTTCTGAAAGATAATAAAGATAAAGGTTTTTAAATTTTCGTCAAGTTTTATCAATAAATCGAGCTCCGAAACTTCGTTCGTATCGTATTACTTACAAAACTATAAAAACGCTGGAATAGCTCAATAACAGTAATGATAATTTATCAGAGAATGTACAATTGTATATAATTTTGGATAATTGTTTAGCTTTATATCGCTATTCGACTAAAATCTGATTGCACGGATAAGTACGTTACAGTGCATCCTAATATGCGCCCAATCGCATTGCAATAAAGTTTATTGACGATTTGCGAGTGCCGTTCGGAGTTCAATAGGTCATTAGAGTTCGAATGACGTCACGTCGACTCAACTGCGCACTTGATATACAGAACGTATTGTTACGTTTTTTTTGTATGAGAAGCCTATTTGATTTTTATACCAATAGAAAGCTAATTTTATAGCCTATGCAATGGTGTTTTACAAAATAAATTTATATAATCACAAAATTCACAATCGCAAATCTAGCGCAACCTTAGTTTAGTACTAGATATTTTAGAGATTTGGAAAAAAGAAATTAAATATATCGTCTTTAGACTGTACATAAATATTATAAGTAAATCTAGATCGCTAGCAACAATATTATCATCACAGTATGTAACATCATATTTTTATAAATAATTTTAACTGATAATATTATTTTTGAAGTTATACTTCTTTAGGCGCGTTATGAAAAAATGATGAGAGTGAAATTTTAAGATGCGCGCGCATCACTGTAACTCAAAAATTATTATTTTGTGTTTACCGCACATTAAGAAAATCTGCCAACAAAATAGAAACAGAATCTCTATTTAGTGGGTGCTAACGACTGCATTGTGAAGGCCTATCAAAAGTATTTATTAATCTGGAACAACGGAACCAAAGCGCGATTCAGGAGACTACAGCGCCATCTCTTGACCATTGGTGTCATCATCATCATCATCAGCCTATTAATGTCCCCACTGTTGGGGCACAGGCCTTCCCTATGGATGGAATAGGGAGATTGGGCCATGACCCACCACGCGGGCCCAGTGCGGATTGGTGGGTGCTAACGACTGCAGATGCAGCCGGGACCAACGGCTTAACGTGCCTTCCGAAGCACGGAGGAGCTCGAGATAGTAATTTATGGTCACCCATCCAATGACCGACCACTGCGAAAGTTGCTTAAGTTCAACGATCGCAGCCGAACGCGCTAACCACTTGCGCCATCGAGCTCCTCCATTGGTGTAGTAGAACCAAAAACCACATCTTTATTTTTTGTAATAAAGTAACAGTTATAGGTGTTCATATTTATAATATCAAAAGTATTTATTAATCTGGAACAACGGAACCAAAGCGCGATTCAGGAGACTACAGCGCCATCTCTTGACCATTGGTGTAATAGAACCAAAAACCACATCTTTATTTTTTGTAATAAAGTAACAGTTATAGGTATTCATATTTATAATATTTATCCACATGTTTCTAGTTTGTATATTCGGAATACGTGTTTGAGTTTTATACAAGTGCAAATCACATATGTTCTAATAAATTATATTCAGTAGCGATTTTAATTGAATATTTTGATTATTTATTTATTTTTTCAAATTAAAACTGAACTTTATTGACTGTGTCCTTTTCCAGACTTTTTATTAATTTATTGTAATTAATTATCTGCATGCAATTAAAAACTAATTTTAAACGATGCCAAAGAAGGATAACTTCTCACGCGCCTACATAAGTACACGCACCCATTTTTTTTATATAGCGCCATCTATCATCACTCACATAAATCATCGAATTTAGAAGGCCGGTTGCAAAGCATTAGAGATATGTGCTTGTCAAGTGAACCTGACAGTTGCTTTTGGAATGTATGATAGATGGAGTTGATGTATGATTTTTTGAATAAGTTACAAGATCGGGTGTGACGTCATATTAATGTTCTGGAAGGAATTGCAAGGGGCGTGGTTTGTTTAACCCGTTCCTAGAGCAATTCGCTCCTTATAAGGTGACAGAATCGAAATCTTCTGCCAGTATCCACGTGACAATCGCCACTATAAATAGCTGTGCGCAGCAGCATTAGGTCTCTTTCGCTGATTGAATCCTGGTAGATCAAGGTAGTTGCATCGTGACCATTAAGAAAGTTGTGGTCAGTGCGCTAATAATTTAAAAAAAAACAAGAAAGTCGTGTTAATTTGTTATTTCTCCCCGGATTAACGGGTAAGTTCCATATATTTAATTCGATAGGTTGTAGGTCAATTTAGGCATTTAATTGTACTATAGGAAGTGTGTGTAATTATTTCTAGTTCCTTTGAGGAAGCTAGTATAATATCTAGACAGAAACTCATTGTTTAGAACTGCTCGGAATTTCCCTGGAAATAGTGAAAGGAATAAGTTTGATAATATGAGCCTGTAGACTGAATTCTGCAACCTAGACGTGTGCGGCTGATGACAGCATATCCTTATTGAAACTTAACGAAATTTGAAAACTACTTGATGTTTCCGAAGTCTTTAAGCTAAATAATATCTGTATATTCTTAATATTTAACCAGTGCATTCTCCGAAGTACAAAATTTCTGTTTCTTAGAACGTAATAAAGGATTTGTAATAGTAAACTGTAAATTCATTAAAAGAATATCTTTAATTTCATTTCACATTGTTTGATATTTGCCAAAAACCAATTGTTTATATAGAATATTAACATAAATATATCTGTATCTACACCTGTTATTGACTGTATGTTCACGTTCACGTCACTTAATCTTAATACTTGAGCTTATAAAAGCTATATACAAAGATATATGTTAGTAGTAATAAGTGTGTCACTGTATGTTGAAATTTCATCTGAATAGTGAAAATATAAAGATCTTGTTCACTGCGGTTCAATATTTTATTTCACTCCCACAAATCACAGTATAAAGCACCCTGGGTAGATAAATTCAATTTTGAGTCTCATGCAAAGCCCTGAGTTGGCTGGTGGTAGCAAAAACTGCTACAAGTAACATTTACAAGTTTACGCCGAGGGGAATTTATAAAACCGCGCGGGCGATAATTCAAACGCATACTTGTTATTTTTTTTATATGAGAACCTATTTATGTTTTGCTATTGTCTGAAAGGATTTTTCATCTAGTTTCTAAAAATATACATTTGATCAACGTTTTTTTTCAACTTGTATCTAAGAATCTCATTTTATTACAAGCAGGCGGATTATTCTAATAAAGGCCGCCTCGAACGACGATAAAAAAAACCAAACACGTCATAAACATTTCAATTATTCGTAAGTTGATAGCTTGATTCATATTCTTCCCAGAAATGTAACTCAAGTCCCTGTAAGTATAAACATTTGGTCGTGAGAACAAAACAAAGGCCTAAGTGTTTAGCGCAGCAAAAAACGGTGTCGGGTAGCGGCGAGTGACCTTTTTTTTGGCGCCCGCGTGGTCCCGCGGTGGTTAATAGCGGGGATATTGATAAATAGATGATGGCAGTTTATATAATGTTTGTAGAGATACACTCACCCCCTGGGCGGGTGCAGCGCGAGGGCGCGGGGTTCCGTGAGGTTCCCGCGCAGCAGCACGCGGCGGTGGGTCCCGTCGAGGCGGGACACCTCGATCGTGTCGGTCCCCTTGTCGCACCAGTACAGGTTGCCGGCCACCCAGTCTACCGCAAGCCCGTCGGGGTTCTGCAGCGTCGCGCCGTGTATTAACTGTATACCACCAGACATAACTCTCTTAGATACTGAACACCAATTATAAAATAAAATTTATATTAAATAAAATTGAAGTCGTACTTTTTAACATAAACTTTAGTAATGTTTCATTATGTTTTAATGCTAATTTTGATGTGAAACACATCTATTGGTGCACGTAAAACCGATTACTGGCGTGGCGATGCTCGCTCGTAAAATGCAATATATACCAGTGCTCGACTACTCGCCGATCAGTACGCATCCCGAGCAATTCTCTGGGTATATTTATCGTAAACCGGCTAGTGTTTCACATCTGCCGAACGGCTCACCTGATGTTGGTCAACGTCGCTAATGGACATCAGCAATGCCGGTGACGCAGCCGTGCTGCTACCTTTCTGGAACACACTTTTTAGGCCTCGTTTGAAACGGAGCACAATATAGCCCTGAGGAAACACCTTGGATGAGAGCTCACTCTTTAACTTCATTATGCGTGAAAGAAAAGACCTCTGAAAACGAATACTTGTGGAATTCATGTTTCCAGGTAACATGGGTGAACTTGACTTTGATGCGGTGATAAAATGGTGCTGTGGGCATCAACTGGATCAATTCCTCAGAGCATTCACCATGAAACAGATTGATTGCTTCATTCCTTCGGGGTTTCGCGTTCTGTTTCCTTATTTGTTATGACTGACCTGATGCTGGGCGGGCTGGGTCTCGGTAGGGCGGCACACGCGGCGGATGGCGGAGCCCAGGCGGGTCACGTCGCTCCAGTAGAGGCAGCCCCCGCCCTCGGCAGCTCCTCACCTGATGCTGGGCGGGCTGGGTCTCGGTAGGGCGGCACACGCGGCGGATGGCGGAGCCCAGGCGGGTCACGTCGCTCCAGTAGAGGCAGCCCCCGCCCTCGGCAGCTCCTCACCTGATGCTGGGCGGGCTGGGTCTCGGTAGGGCGGCACACGCGGCGGATGGCGGAGCCCAGGCGGGTCACGTCGCTCCAGTAGAGGCAGCCCCCGCCCTCGGCAGCTCCTCACCTGATGCTGGGCGGGCTGGGTCTCGGTAGGGCGGCACACGCGGCGGATGGCGGAGCCCAGGCGGGTCACGTCGCTCCAGTAGAGGCAGCCCCCGCCCTCGGCAGCTCCTCACCTGATGCTGGGCGGGCTGGGTCTCGGTAGGGCGGCACACGCGGCGGATGGCGGAGCCCAGGCGGGTCACGTCGCTCCAGTAGAGGCAGCCCCCGCCCTCGGCAGCTCCTCACCTGATGCTGGGCGGGCTGGGTCTCGGTAGGGCGGCACACGCGGCGGATGGCGGAGCCCAGGCGGGTCACGTCGCTCCAGTAGAGGCAGCCCCCGCCCTCGGCAGCTCCTCACCTGATGCTGGGCGGGCTGGGTCTCGGTAGGGCGGCACACGCGGCGGATGGCGGAGCCCAGGCGGGTCACGTCGCTCCAGTAGAGGCAGCCCCCGCCCTCGGCAGCTCCTCACCTGATGCTGGGCGGGCTGGGTCTCGGTAGGGCGGCACACGCGGCGGATGGCGGAGCCCAGGCGGGTCACGTCGCTCCAGTAGAGGCAGCCCCCGCCCTCGGCAGCTCCTCACCTGATGCTGGGCGGGCTGGGTCTCGGTAGGGCGGCACACGCGGCGGATGGCGGAGCCCAGGCGGGTCACGTCGCTCCAGTAGAGGCAGCCCCCGCCCTCGGCAGCTCCTCACCTGATGCTGGGCGGGCTGGGTCTCGGTAGGGCGGCACACGCGGCGGATGGCGGAGCCCAGGCGGGTCACGTCGCTCCAGTAGAGGCAGCCCCCGCCCTCGGCAGCTCCTCACCTGATGCTGGGCGGGCTGGGTCTCGGTAGGGCGGCACACGCGGCGGATGGCGGAGCCCAGGCGGGTCACGTCGCTCCAGTAGAGGCAGCCCCCGCCCTCGGCAGCTCCTCACCTGATGCTGGGCGGGCTGGGTCTCGGTAGGGCGGCACACGCGGCGGATGGCGGAGCCCAGGCGGGTCACGTCGCTCCAGTAGAGGCAGCCGCCCGCCCACAGCAGGTCGAGGGCCACGGCGTTGCTCATATTATGGGCCACGACCTCACTGGCGCCACCCTCCAGACCCACGCGACGGATGTAGTAGCGGTTCGTGAACAGCAATGAAGCCTTCACCGCTATAAGAAGCAATAGGTTTATTTAAAAAAAAATACATCTAATTCGAAAAAACTTTATAATGATTACAACAAAGTTATTTTTAAGTTAAATCGGAGAGTTCGCTCTCTCCTTCGGAGCTAAAGACAAGTGTCAATGTGATGTGATGTAACATATATCTTGATTGAAAGTAAGATTTTTTTTAAAGATTCATTATTTTGTTTTAGGGTCAAAATTAAATCTACAATAAGACTAATACGGAGTATGCATAAATATATTTTATATTTGTATTTCATAGTTAACGTCATCTTAATATAGTATAAAAAATTTGGACATTGAAGCAATAGGGTAACATATTAAAAAAATGATAAAAATAATCACTTATGCAAGCATTTTATATACTCGCTATTTGGGAACTCTTGGTTTAACGTCCCCACTTTCACTAGGGCTCGTTGCCTTTGACATATCCTGTGAAAAGGATGGATGTTTGTTGATTTATTATACGTCAGAGTCGCGTTTCAGACATTTATAATAATTCATTTCTTGCTCAAAAAATAATATTATTGAAAAATACTGATAAAGGGACAATTCAAAAGTAAGAACAGTATGTGGTTGCTTTCCAATTACAGCATTATAGCGCATTATGCGGCATAATGCTTAACGTTGAGTGTTCCAACTACAGCAACGCTTCGCACAATTGAGCACTCTCAAAAGTGATGCTTTCGTGTGATGCGTGCAATCGTACCAACTTAGAGACAGAAAATTAACAAGTGTTTTTTCTTTAAGTTGGCATTGATCGAAATGTTTTATTTATGTTATCGTTAGTAATATTATTTATTGTTGAAAAATTATTTAAGCTTTCGTTTCATTAAATAGTTTTTTTTAAATAATCAAAGTTCATTCAAACTGTTAAAAAATAAATATAAGTATGGATGAAGGTACAAACATTGACTTTTTTTTTCAACACTGAACTGAGCGCACTCTGCTGGTGCATTTGAAAACTAATTCACGTTCCAATTAAGCATCAGCATAATTCGGCATTGTGCGGCACTGAGTCGCATTATGCTCTGTAATTGGAAAGCATACTGTATAAAGATTCGCCTTATTTGAAATACGTGCATATTCCCTACTAGTGGCCCGCCCTTGTTTCGCTTCGGTTCAAATCTTTAGTGTATAGTCTACAGTTTATGTTCTCAGGCTTATAAGCCTATAATATATTATACACAATGAATTTATTCATATAATTATAAACCTTCCGTGAAAATATATTTAACTGGTAGCGTTAATTTGAGAAAAAAATGTTATAGTGAGTCAAACTTAAAAGATGGACATAATTATGCTGCCGCGGACTTTTTTATAGAACTTTTAAATGTGAACAATTGCTTCATACATGATTTTTATGTAACTTTAACCGTTAAAATAGTGATAAGTGATATGTTTTCGCGGACTTTTTTGTAGAAATCGATGTCCTTTATAATACTTTAGTACATCACTTTGCTCTATTGTCAATCAATGACTTCACAGCGTACGCGATATAAGGTAATTTTTTCACACATTGGGTTGCATTATCGAAGTTTTCATACGGAACCCTATTTTTTTTTGAAAATGCTCAATAGCATATGTTCATCAGGGTTTGGACTTTTTTAAAAAGATCCAGTAGTTTCGGAGCCTATTCAATACCATCAAACAAACAATCAAATTTTTCCTCTTTATAATATTAGTATATAGATTCTACTAATAAAAAGAACAGTAACTACATTATATAACAGAGATCAAAGAACTCACAAGATATCGGAGTGCAAGTGATTCCATCTTCCATGAGCCGGTAGCCGTCTGCGCAGTAGCACTTGAAACTGCCGATCGTGTTCCTTAGAGAAAACAAACAATTCTATACATGAGAGAAGAAATGTGACGACTTTTTTGTTTGACACTAGATAAATTTGACTTCCGAAATTTTGTTTAAGTTGCGAGAGTACTCACTAACCTCGTCAGAGGCACTAAGCTATAAATTTGAACGGAGCTTAGTTTTAGTATGTATACCTGCAGTAATGATCGCAGGGCTCGTCCTCGCGGCACTCGTCGACGTCGACGCATGCGTCGTGCGCTCGGGTGTCGGTGACGTGCCGCGTGACGTCACGCATGACGTCACGCATGACGTCACGGCGGTACCCGACGCGGCACCAGCACGCGCGGCCGGCCGCCAGCTCCGTGCAGTTGTGGGCGCAGCCGCCGTTGAATTGCGAGCATTCTGCCATGTCTACGGGACCACAACGACGAGCTTTATACGCTTAGATTAAAACAAAAAGGGAAGATACGGCACTCGCGACTCAAAAGTGATCCGGTTAAATTGTGGTGCATGACCTCAATTCGCTTTAGTCACAATTGGACATCGAAATACGATGCATGCAATTTAACAATATTGCATAATATATTCTGCGTTATAGAGATAGAACAATGCCTTCGATGTTTTTATAAAGAACACAAATAGTTGAAGATAAATAACAAATGCCACGGCAACAGTTTTCATTCGTAAAACTAAAACTATGAAAAACATTTTTTCACAAAATCCACGGTTTGCCATGAATGTTAGTTACTGATTCACCGTTTGTTATCAAGTATAGGACAACAATACAGCTTAGTTGTTTGTAGAGAGAAAAGACACGCGCTGTTTCGCTCGCGCCTCGTTGAAGCGTACAGTTCTGTCTCGCTCGCTCGATTGAATGTTTATATACAGACGTGTGCGTGTGTGAGAGTTGCTTATGTAGTTGAGTCGGATCAAATTTTATTTGATACCACTATGAGCGTACAGTATCTTCCCTCTTTCTTTTTATTTAAGTTTATACGTGTACTGGCATTAGCATAGTGAATGAACTGAGTATTAGCGCTGCAGTGCCCGAAAAAATCGACCGGTCTTTTATTCTCTACAGGGTTGGGGAGTAGTTATTGTTACGCCCTGTCAGTGTTGATAGATATATCATCCACTGAAGTAGCATTAAATGCTTATTAGGGTAATATATATTCCATATTAAGCTATGGAATCATATTTTGGGGCAATTCTGTTAATGTTGAAAGTACATTCCTATTACAAAAAAGGTGTTTAAGAATATTTTTTAATAAATATAGTGACGAAACAATGCGTAATATTTTTAAAGAAAAACAAATTTTAACATTGACCTGTATTTATATATTAAAAATGTGTAAATTGTTAAGATTACATATGTGTGAATTCCCAAAGATCTCTGACAAGAGAGCTAGAATAACCCCGATGAGAAGTGAAGACAAATTACATTTACCTCGGTCAAATTCAGCAATTTTTTAAAAAAGTACTTATAAGTACATACATATATGTCTGCCATATGAATATACAATAATTTACCGCCTTATCTGCGGTCACTTCCTGAATATAAGTTTGTAAGGTCCCTGAAGCAATGGCTAATATATAATGCATTTTATAATCTAAATGAATATTTTAATAATAATGTTTTGTAAAAATGACTATTGCATGCCCGATTAGGGTAACTGTTTATTTCAATTGTGTGCACTAACATCTAGCAGTATCACTAAATGTAACAGTTTTGCAATAAAGAATTATTCTATTCTATTCTATACTTTTTTATGTCTATATACAGTAAAATAATAAATCTCACTGCATCTGGTTTCGTCGCTGTAGTCGCCGCAGTCGTCGTCGCCGTCGCAGATGGTGTCGCGCGGCACGCACGCGCCATTCAAGCATCGCCACAGCCCGCGCCGACAACTACCCGCCACCATCGACGCGGGGGAGCCCTCCGTCATGCCCGGGAACGAGGACGCGTACGAACCTGGCCAAAATGTATATTAAACCCTTAGCACGAACCAATAGCAAGTTGAATTCGATCTGAAAACGCGCCGAATGCCAAGAAGTTTTGTATGAAAATTTGAACATATCCAAAATGGAAAATAATCCAGACGTATCGAGAATTAAAATTAAAACCAAATTCATTGGTTCGTTCTAAGGGTACCTACTGATCAAATGGCAAATAAATTAAGTTTTAAATAAGCGATAAAGTAAGGATGTCGTAAGTTTGATACACATACAATGTGCTACAAGGAATGTTATCAATTTATTTGGTAAAACAACGATCTTAAATACGCTAGATGCACCACGTGCACTCAAAATATGTCCCTATGAAGAAGTGCTTAAACACCACTCAAGCACTTCCATTCTCTTCCCTTCACAATGGTTTTGCTCGTCGCACACCAGGTTGGGTGGGATACAGCGACCAGCGCAGTAAACGCTATGCCACTATAATATAGAGAATGATTCCGACACAGGAATATAACTCACTGCATATCTCCGGGTCCTCATCAGTGCCGGCTCCACTTCCGCCGCTATCTTCACAATGGTTCCGCCCGTCGCAGACTAATTCGGGCGGGATACAGCGACCCGCGCAGTAAACGCTACCCGGCACGCCGCTGCATAGCGGGTTTTCCGCTTGTAGTGTGACCCCGGGTTTAGTGCTCGACTCTGTGATACGCGAGCAACCCGGAGGCTCGTCCGAGCCGTCGTCGCAGTCTCGATCTCCGTCGCAGAATACGTCCTAACAAATTATATAGGAATTTTTGATTTAAGTGAGTCTTTAAAAACGGCGAAGGGTCCCGTAAAAAATATCTATACAACATTAGACACTATATTATAATATCGTGCAAAAAACGGTAAAAAACATACGTTTGTTGTCTGGGAGCCCCTCTTGAATATTTATTTTATTCTGTTTTTAGTATTTGTTGTTATAGCGGGAACAGAAATAAATAATCTGTGAAAATTTCATCTGTCCAGCTGTCACCGTTAATGAGATAAAGCATGTTGATAGACGGAATGAGTACAGGATAATGGAATCTTAGTAATATGGTTCCGTTTTTACCCTTTGGCTATGAAATTCTAAAAAGCCTCTTTTGAATAGTCTTATTAACGTCCTAGTACCAGTTTAGAACTTCTACACAACTACCTAAAAAGAGTTTATTTGATGTGGAAAAGAATTGGTGATAAAAGATTATTAATATAATGCGGATTTATTTAATTATTGAATATATTGACAAACAATTTCTAAAGTATTCAAGTTGTACGAGCACGCACATGATTATTGATTGTTTGACAATGAATTTACTTAAAGACAGACCTTATTGTGTAACATATTATAAATGATAACATAACTATTTATTGCAATAAACGCTCTTTACGGAGACAGTTATTTTTACTTCAGATTTCGATCTCGGAAATATTAACTTATAAAGCACTCAATATTAACTCACAAACACTCATGAATTGATATTCAGTTCCAACCATAGACATAGGATGTAAAGATGGACAGAGAACCTATCGGAAGTGTTTCAAAAATTATCAAGCGTTTGCGTATCGGTGTTCTATTGTGAGTGATAGTGTAGTTTTGTCAAGATATGCTTAAGACACAAGATATCCAAGTATAAGCACAATTTGTTTTCTTAGTTTCACAGAATTTCATAAAAAGTATTATCACAATGAGGCTTGACAGGACGCTGCGGGCTCTCACTTTATTTGATGAGATATATGTCATGTTGCGTCTCTTTCCACCTTGTAGGATTGTCGCGAGGGCCCGATATAGCTTTGTCTCACTCTGTCAGCGTTTAAAAAGTCGACGTATGGTTTCGTAGAGGGGCAGCGTAGTTTGGCGAGTGACCTGCGGCAGACAGAGGCCGGTGTCCCGGCAGCGCAGGGAGCGCGCGGGACACAGACACCCGGCCTCGTCGTCGCCGCGGGGACAGTCGTACTCCCCGTCGCACCGGCCCGCCCTCACCTGCGGCAGACAGAGGCCGGTGTCCCGGCAGCGCAGGGAGCGCGCGGGACACAGACACCCGGCCTCGTCGTCGCCGCGGGGACAGTCGTCTCCCCGTCGCACCGGCCCGCCCTCACCTGCGGCAGACAGAGGCCGGTGTCCCGGCAGCGCAGGGAGCGCGCGGGACACAGACACCCGGCCTCGTCGTCGCCGCGGGGACAGTCGTACTCCCCGTCGCAGCGGCCCGCCCTCACCTGCGGCAGACAGAGGCCGGTGTCCCGGCAGCGCAGGGAGCGCGCGGGACACAGACACCCGGCCTCGTCGTCGCCGCGGGGACAGTCGTACTCCCCGTCGCAGCGGCCCGCCCTCACCTGCGGCAGACAGAGGCCGGTGTCCCGGCAGCGCAGGGAGCGCGCGGGACACAGACACCCGGCCTCGTCGTCGCCGCGGGGACAGTCGTACTCCCCGTCGCAGCGGCCCGCCCTCACCTGCGGCAGACAGAGGCCGGTGTCCCGGCAGCGCAGGGAGCGCGCGGGACACAGACACCCGGCCTCGTCGTCGCCGCGGGGACAGTCGTACTCCCCGTCGCAGCGGCCCGCCCTCACCTGCGGCAGACAGAGGCCGGTGTCCCGGCAGCGCAGGGAGCGCGCGGGACACAGACACCCGGCCTCGTCGTCGCCGCGGGGACAGTCGTACTCCCCGTCGCAGCGGCCCGCCCTCACCTGCGGCAGACAGAGGCCGGTGTCCCGGCAGCGCAGGGAGCGCGCGGGACACAGACACCCGGCCTCGTCGTCGCCGCGGGGACAGTCGTACTCCCCGTCGCAGCGGCCCGCGCGCGGGACGCAGGCCCGCCCCCCCAGGCACGCGTATTGATCCGCGTCGCACGTCACGTTGCCCAGGGTACCTGAACAAGTCGGCATACATCAAACAGGTTTTCCGACTGATTTAAAATGCATTTTTAATACTTTTTTACAGAACCTGTTTTATTTAATGAGTGATGTGCGTGAAAACTTAAGAAACAAAAACTCATGCGCGTAATTAAGCATTTGCATATCTCATCCGAGTCACTGATTTTCTATTTTCTCTTTATAATATCTATTTTATAATTGACTATGAAACAAGTTTTTGAAAACGTTAATTCGTTTTTTATTACTGTATACTGACTCCATTGAAAGGGAGATTTCCAATTATGTTTCATACTTATAAATTTAAGTAAAAAATTGAAATAAAAATTTCGTTTTTAAATATGCCGCAGTATTTATTCCTTAGCAAGAGTCGAAAGAACCACTCGACTTCGAGCTTATTTTTCGTTTATTAATAAAGACAAGGTGTACAGTATATAGTATACTCTGCTACGGCATATAGTATAGGTTAAAGCAGTATACTGACGGCAGTGCGTAGTCTCGTCGGATCCGTCGCTGCAGTCGACGCGTCCGTCGCAGCGCCACGCGGCCGGGATGCACTCTACCGCGCCACTGTCGCTCTGTCTCGCTCCCCCGTCCTTTGAGCTCGCTACTGCTGTCTCGCTCCCGCAGCGGAACTGCTCCGGTCCGCATATAGGCGGCTCCGTATATGGCTCAGGCGTACTCGTCGTAGTCGTATCGGTTACTGCAATTAAACGTTCGGAATTTTAAAATTTGTTAATCTATATCATAATTTTCAGTTACAGTCTTCCATATTTCTATTACCCAATATTTAATTTTAGCATGCTCGAAACTTTTATAACGTGACTTCTCTTATACTGTTATTTATTTGTGTGAAGTTCTAAAATTTGCAATAAATGGATATAAAATACGGTTTATTCAAGATTTTTTTCTTACAGTTGCGTTTTTACACATCCAGCTAACGGAATAATTCGGGATAACTATGTCGTTACAATTGCAAACACACGAGAGATATCATAAAGACTTAGTTATTTAAAAGTATTAGGGAAACTTAAGACCTTGCCGGAAAGTAATTCCATAAACAATGTTAAAGCTTTTGCAACGGTAGACAATAACATATTTATAAGAAAGGTAAACGGTGATTTCGCTCACCCGTCGGACAGCCAGCTTCATCGCTGCCATCGGGGCAGTCCGTTTTGAAGTCGCAGCGCCACTCGGGCAGGTAGCAAGCTCGGGCCGGGGCCCCGGTGGGTGGGGTGGGGGGGCAGGGCAGGGCGCCGGGCCCCAGCGCGCGGCAGGCGAGGGCCCCGCAGCCCCGCTCGTCGGACCCGTCCCCGCACTGTGCGCGACCGTCGCAGCGCGCCGACACCTCCACGCACTCGCCGGATGAGCACCTAGTATGTCAACGAACATAATTTGAGACATCTCAACATCCGTAGTACGCTTCTTCGGGAGCTCAATAGCGTGTGGTTAGAGTTAGTTAGCGTTCGGATGCGATCGTTAAATCAACTTTTGCAGTGGTCTTCGTGCCTCCGTGCTTCGAAAGGCACGTTAAGCCTGTAGTCGCGGCTGCATCTGCAGTTGTTAGCACCCACCGCACTGCCCGCGTGGTGGCCCGATCTCCCTATTCCATCCATAGGGAGGACCTATGCCCCAGAAGTGAGGACACTATAGGCTGATAATGATGATGATTACACTTCTTAATTAATAATTTATAAAAAAAAAATATTCCTAGAAAATATCCACATCGATTCTGGTGTCAGGCTTGATTCCAGCTAATGTCTTCCGCTATCTAGGTGAATGCACTGCTTCCGAAATCTCAGAAAATGTTATCTTTCTAAATCATGTAATTCAATGATAAAAATACACTAAATTATTGATTTCTATTTAAAATTAAATTAAATTCAACTCTTTTAAAAGTTTCGAATCTTTTTTCAAACAAATAATGAAATACTTCTACACAAAAAATAAAAAAAATGGGTGCGTGTACTTATGTAGGCGCGTGAGAAGTTATCCTTCTTTGGCATCGTTTAAAATTAGTTTTTAATTGCATGCAAATAATTAATTACAATAAATTAATAAAAAGTCTGGAAAAGGACACAGTCAATAAAGTTCAGTTTTAATTTGAAAATATAAATAAATAAACAAAATATTCAATTAAAATCGCTACTGAATATAATTTATTAGAACTTATGTGATTTGCACTTGTATGAAACTCAAACACGTATTCCGAATATACAAACTAGAAACATGTGGATAAATATTATAAATATGAATACCTATAACTGTTACTTTATTACAAAAAATAAAGATGTGGTTTTTGGTTCTACTACACCAATGGTCAAGAGATGGCGCTGTAGTCTCCTGAATCGCGCTTTGGTACCGTTGTTCCAGATTAATAAATACTTTTTGTTACTTTATTACAAAAAATAAAGATGTGGTTTTTGGTTCTACTACATCAATGGTCAAGAGATGGCGCTGTAGTCTCCTGAATCGCGCTTTGGTTCCGTTGTTCCAGATTAATAAATACTTTTTGTTACTTTATTACAAAAAATAAAGATGTGGTTTTTGGTTCTACTACATCAATGGTCAAGAGATGGCGCTGTAGTCTCCTGAATCGCGCTTTGGTTCCGTTGTTCCAGATTAATAAATACTTTTGATAGGCCTTCACAATGCAGTCGTTAGCACCCACAAAATAGAGATTCTATTTCTATTTTGTTGGTAGATTTTCTTAATGTGCGGTTAATTTTTTGTGTTACAGTGATGCGCGCGCATCTTAAAATTTCACTCTCATCATTTTTTCATAACGCGCCTAAAGAAGTATAACTTCAAAAAGGCGTAATTAAATTGGTATTATATATGAGTATGTTTAAAAACGTTTCCAAGTTTATTTTTTTTCCAAAAGGAACCTATTCTTATTTTGCGTTCGAGTCGTCACTTACTAATTTGATTATAACTACACACAGAAAAAAAGATATAAATTCAAACGAATGACACAAAAAGTCAACATTCACTAAATATTCCACAGATAAACACTGGTTAAAGAGTGAAGTGAAGTTAGCGCCACATACTAACCGGTACTCAGTGGACGGACAGTCGCAGCCCAGTTCGTCCTCCCCCCCCTCGCAGTCGGCGCGCCCGTCGCAGCGCAGCGACGACGACACGCAGCGCCCGCCGCCACCGCACCTCATCATATCCGTCGGGCATTGCCGAGACGCTACACAAACATAGTATAATTCAATCAATCATCGATCGACTATGATAAAGATCGCGTTTTTCCAACTATAGTTAAATTTGACCATATAAAAAAAACTATGGGTATATATATAGTATACTAGCTGTCCCAGCGAACTTCGTACCGCCATAAAAAAATAGGGGTTAGTGGTAGAAGGGTGAAAATTTAGGGTTGTATGTATTTTTGTATGATGTATCACAAAAAAAAAATAAAAAAAATATCTAAAATTAAAAAAAAAATTGGGGTTGGATTACCCTTAACAATTAGGGGGATGAAAAATAGATGATGTCCGATTCTCAGACCTACCCAATATGCACATAAAATTTCATGAGAAACGGGAAAGCCGTTTCGGAGGAGTTTAACTACAAACACCGCGTTCTCATCTCTACACAGCTATACATCGTCCCTGCATTCCGGTACTCCATCACACACTAATTGGAGCGGGTGACGGTCGTTCTCCACGCCTTATAGGGCGGACATCCACACATTTGGTAATAATAGTGCTCTGTGAGTGAAGTTGCAATCTTTCGCAATAGCGGGTCATCATTAGATGGGTGACCAAAAACGTATTATATCGAGCTCCTCTGTACTTCGGAAGGCACGTTAAGCCGTTAGTCGCGGCTGCATCTGTAGTCGGTGACACCCACCAGTAATACCCACGTGGTGAATCATGGTTCGATCTCCCTATTCCATCCATAGGGTAGACCTGTGCTTCAGCAGTGTGGAAATTAATAGGCTGGTGATGATGATACCTATACAATGGCAACCACCGCGCCTTATTCCCTCTACATACGGTGTATATTGACACAACACCTAGTATATGTCGATGGCGTCGCTGCAAAAAGCGCCTTATTCCCTCCACATTGGATGTCCAGTCAACGAATTAGAAAATTAGAGAGATTAGATTCGTTAAAGAGAGGTTCCATGCAAACTTTTGCGGGCCGGCAAGGTGAGGATGGTTGGTGTAACAGTTTATAACTGCTGTATCAGCTATCTTCGCGTTTGGACTTTATCACCACTTCATATATAAAAAAAAAAAAACTGCGATCAATGCGTCGATCAGAGTGTCGTCGCACTCAGTGACAGACGCTTGTATCATTCATGATTCTTGCATCATCAGGCACAATATAAAGATCATGAGTGAAACCCAAGATAAAATTTGTATCTGAAGGACATTAATGACCGCCTGTGGGATATTAATTGGTGTTTCGCTTCACTCTAACATTTTTGTCATACCAATGAATGGGTAGCCTAATTCATTTGTTTGAGGTTTGATCAGGCAAGTATTTTGATTTATTCTATTTATATATATATATTATATATATATAGCATATTTATATATATATATATATATATATATTTATATCTCCACGGAACGGTGCGGCAGGGTATGACAATGTGAGTGATAATAAACATAATTAAAGAAGAGCTACATACTGCAATAGAAGAGGTCTTCATCACTAGATAGTAGCAGATCATCGCTGCAGTGCGGGACTCCGTCGCAGACCAACTCGGGCGGTAAACACCCGCCCTCAGCGCACGGCCAGCGCGGCCACAGGCAGGCGCCGCCCTCGGCCCCGCCCCCGCCCCCGGCCCCGCCCCCGCCCCCCGCCCCGCCCCCGGCCCCGGGCGGGACACACGCGCTGCCGTCGGGCGCCAGCACCCGCCCGCCCGCGCATGCGCACAACACAGTGCCGTTGACGAGAGAGCACAACTCCGCACAACCACCGTTTACAATGTTGCACGGATCCAACGAACCTAAACGAGGTAAAAAACGTTACATTTATTTCTATTCATTGAATTTTCCTTAGAGACTTAAAATTAGCTGTAACGTTGTACATGAGTTGTTGACAGAACTGTCTTTGGGCACAATATGAAAATTATTTGCTACTAAGCCAATCTTTTATTTCCGGACCCACTACCTGCTAGCCTTACAGCTTCTTGCTAAAGTGCTGTAAAGTAAATATTGATGGAATAAAGTGACTTTTCAAGTTGTAAAACAAATATATGTCGTGGATTGTTAAACGGAACGTCAAGTTGGGACCGACTTGGATGTATTCGGAAAATGAGTTGGCAACACTAGTTACTAATCAACGTCATCCGACGTGTGACAGCTGTCACTGTGAGTGTATAAAAACGAGTGAAAAGTCTGTTTTAGGGACATTTTGTAATCTAGTTATGTTAAATATTTTAGTTTTGATCAAAGGACATGTAAACTATTATTCGGTTTGTCTTTTGTCTAACAATCGAAACGAACAATCTTTAATATATGGCGAGATTGTTTCGTAAATAATATCGACGAATTTATATAAGTTTATTTTACTGTTAAGCGGTTAGTGTCTTAACTTCAATTTCGTTATAATCACCAGTGGAGACTTAACTAATAGATCAGAAGATGTACTCACATGAGTCGCGGTATATCCCTTCGGCTTACTCGATCCGATCCTTACACACGAGGTAGCGTCTAAAAGATCAGCGAGGTTACTCACAAGTGTGGTTCTGTGGTGCCACGGCCACCACAGCCATGGGTCGTGGTATATCCCTCCGCAACGCTACGATGGGTCCCCCCTCCAACGGCATCCGGAATACGGCTCGTTCGATCCAGTCTGTCCATACGAGGTATTCGCCCGCGACCGCCAGAGCGAACGGGTGCAAAGCGCTGCGCCGCGTTAATACCTGACCGCAACGCAAACAAGGATATGTTCAATTACTAGTGTACTCGACAGCCGTTATGCTGACAAAAATATATGAAAACATAGAAGCTGTCGGTTACTTGTATTTTAAGTTTTTAAAAAAAACTAATTTTCTCATTTTCGGTTTTTAAAAACAATGGATCAAATCGATAAAGTCGCTCTCAATAGGAAAATAGGATTTCATTAATTTATGCTATATAGTCAAAAGGACATTTGCAGCATCATTACAAAACGTGAACTAAAATTAGGCTTGCTTTAAATCCAAAGGCATAGAGAATGAAGTGATCACTCACGTAAAAAATTTTTTTGTAAGAAACAAAAACCTTAGATACCTAAACAAATATATGTTGCCTAATCTTTTCATATCTCTCACACTTTTATTTAACTTTACGGTTAAACAGAAAACGTTCAGTTCATTCTCTACATGTGTAGTCAGAATCAGAAACCCAAGCGCGAGTTTTAGAGATCTCGGTTAAGTAGCATGTTGTACGGAAAACGCTAGTTTGATCTTATGTCCGATAGGGGCGCTGCTTAGTTTTTATAGAAAATTTGACGATACGTTACGCAGCTGTCATAAACTCGCGCTCTTGTCCCTGTACATACCACGCGGTGCGAGCCGTCCATGTGCGCCTGTTCGATCTTGTCCAGCCTGGCATCGGCCCAGTACATCCTCCTGCGCACAGTATCTAACGCCAGAGCGTTGGGCATGAGCACCCCGCCCGCAATCACCGCGTGTCTGTCTGTCCCCGACGTGTACGCGCGCTCTATGCACGGCCGCCGCTCGCGCCAATTGGTCCAATACACGCGCCTGTCATATATCACCGCAACATTATAGCCGGCTATTATATAACCCAATATATTAGCATTACCCCCCCCCCTCCTCACACACCCCTCGCGATGGTCCCATACGCGTGCCCGTTCATATATGAATCAAAGGAGACACTGGCAATAAGTACACTGTCAAAATATGCTGTTACAGGATGAAATAAATTAGACACATAGGACATTAAAATGAAATCTATTTTCATAGTGGTGTGCAAATGTCTACGACAAGTCGCTAAACAATAAAATTAATTGTAAGTAGCAAATAGTATGTCTTCATTAGTTAAATGTTATTTGTAATTCGAATTTCGCTGAGGAGAGACAACAGTTTACATAACTTGAATCTCTGACCGAGAATTGAAGCATAGCAGTTTAATACATTTAAAGTCGACTAAAATAGTTATCTTATTTTTATATATATACCAGAAAAGAGACTAATATAGTTTGTTATGAACAGCGTTGTATACCTCAAATCTTTGGTCTTCGTAAACATTTACGATACCGAATTAAAAAGTGACGTTTTGCCAATGCAACCTGTTAACGAGCCACTAATGCTTTTTGGTTGGGTAATACGTAGTATAGTCTAGGCGGAACTGTACACTCAAACGTTATTGCATTACTTCTATGCTTTAATTGTTGTTCTGAGACTGGAGAGAAAGCTTACAAGAGGAGGAGCTCGATGGCGTAACTTGTTAGCGCGTACGCATGCCATCCCCGAAGTTAAAAAACTTTTGCAGTGATAGGTCATTGGATGGGTGATCAAAGATTTACCATCTCGAGCTCTTCTGTGCTTCGGAAGGCAGGCTTAGCCGTCGGTCCTGCTGCATTTGCAGCCGTTTACACCTACCAATCTTCACAGGGCCCGAGTGGTGGGTCACAGTTCCATCCACAGGCACGTCCCGTACCCCAGCAGGGGGGACATTAATGATGATGATGACGCTTATAGGACAGGTTACTTGTGGCAGGGGTCGAGGTCGATGCCCCGCGGCCGGTCGGCGGGTCCCAGGCTGAGCACGGTGCGGGTGAGTGCGGCCCGCCGGTCCGCGCGGGTGGCCCGCCGGTCCGCGCGGGTGGCCCGCCGGTCCGCGCGGGTGGCCCGCCGGTCCGCGCGGGTGGCGCGCAGTGCGTCGCGCAGGTCTACGGCGCGTACGGCGGCGCGAGACGCGCAGGTCCAGTACAGGGTGCCCGACATGGCGTCTACTGCCATGCCTTCCACCGCGCCCACCTCTGTTACCGCGACAAAATAGTTTAACACGCGGCCCCAGCTGATTAGGTAATACTACTTCGATTAATGTCAACGGCATACGCGGCCGAGGGGCTTCTCCTTGATGACTCGCCCGCGGAGGAGGACAAAGAACACCTTGAATCTCAAATTTCAATTATTTTCAATAGTCTCGTATGAGGTGAATGAACTTTTTTATCGCTTCTCGTTAACCCTGCTTTATAAAGATTATTCACCCACCCTTCACCCCCCCACACGAGCACTGCAATTAAACCGATAAATTTGCTATGCCCTAACTCGATTAACGTTGCACTGCAGTTGGCTACTAACTAGGTTCACAAAACAGTAAACGCATTGTAACTCATCTCATCATATGATATCAAGTGAGATAGTGTGTTTTCTAACTTTTCCCACCTTATTACAAAACGTAGAATGAAGTTAAAGCTAGGCTGAAACAAATCTGTTCCTCTTATTTGCTGTAATGTTTGCTATAAGAAAGACGAATACAATATTAGATTTAAACAAGGACTGACTTTGGTCCGCGTTTCGTAACGCGGTTTATGGCTATAATAAATAGTAACTTAACTTTATGAGTACGATCGGAATTAAGGCAACAAAAGAAACTATCAAAATGTAACTTTACTTTTTCCTCCAAATAATTTACTTTTTGGTACTTCGAATCGTATTTAAAGTAGTAAGTCAAGGACATAATCAAAATCATTTACTCTCTACGCCATCAGTTTCTTAATCTTCGGCGAGAGACCTTGTACTGTGAAGAACCGCCAAGAAACTCAGCAAGGACTGATTTTTTCTCCCTGACTTATTATTTACAGAGTCGTCAAGTTGAGAAATGACTTCAGAAATGATTAATCAAGCCACCTTTCATTAGATGCTGATTAAATATACATTAATCGCTTTGCCATACTAGCTTAACAGACGTAGGGAATTACAATGCCAGCTTTGCAGCGTACCTACATCCTCGCGCTTCCTACGGGCAGTTGCTGAAAATCAGCATTTTGTCTATTAAGGCAAAAACACTGCTGAGCTTCTGCCTATTTGCATCACTGTCACTCACTAATGATTGTAGTTCATATTAGAAAGAAAGAAAGAAAGAAAGAAAGAAAGAAATTTTATTTGTAACAACATGTGTAAGTAAGATTGTCAGTGATAATTAGCTAAGTACATAACATGTTGTGCCAATATCGGCATACAAATTAATTATTATTTATATTCATTATTATCATTCTAAGATTCAAATTACAAAAATGAAAAGGTCAATAATGTCAATACAATAAAAAATGACAATAAATTGGGCAAACACTTTAAATAATATGTCAATACTTTCAAAACAAACATAGTCAAATATCAGTAAATTGGGTAGAAACTGTTAATACATGTCAAAACTCTCAATTCAATAATTAAATGTCAATAAAATTGGGCAACTAAACAAAATACTAATAAATTCGAATTTAAATTGAGTAATAGTTGCATTTCAAATGTCAATTTAATAATCAAATGTCAATAAAATTGGTCAAAACTATATATAACATGTCAATATGTACTTGCAATTCAAATAGTAGAATAAAAATAAAATAAAATCACAATTTGTCGGTTAAAAAATCTGATACAGCATAATAACATTTATCAGTTAATAGTTTCTTAATTTTCTGTTTAAACACATTATAATTTAAATCTTTCAAAGATGTTGGGAGTTTATTATATATTCTAGGAGCCATACAGAATACATTATTTCCCATTAGGGCTGTTCTGGAGTTGGGCATGCAAAGTCTACTGTTATCACGTCTGTGGCGATCTAGTACATCTGCCATTTTTACAAATAGGTGCATGTTTTCTTTTACAAATAAGAGGATTTCAAAAATATACAAAGACGGAAGTGTCAGAATCTTATATTTTAAGAAGTAAGGTTTACAACTATCCGTAGTTTTTAAATCAAACATGGCTCTTATGCATCTTTTTTGCATTTTAAATGCTAAATCTTTGTCAGTAGAATTCCCCCAGAAGATAATACCGTATCTCAGAATTGACGCAGCTAAGCCGTGATATGCAGTGAGCAGGGCGTCTGTGTTCAATAAGGAGGAAAGTTTAAACAACGGATAGGCCGCACTGCTGACTTTCTTACTAAGGTATTCTATGTGAGGTTTCCAATTTAATCTAGAATCTACCATTATTCCGAGAAATTTGACGCTTTCAACTTCGCGTATGTCAACATTTTGTTGATCAATTTTTAAACATATATCATTATTTTTACGTTGACTAAATTGCATTAATTGAGTCTTTTCAAGATTTATTTTTAAATTATTATCATTTAACCATGAAATAACGGATGTCAGAGAATTCTTAATGGCATGTTCATAAATGTCAGGATCTTTACAGGGAATTGTCAAAGTACTGTCGTCAGCGAACAGAGTAATTGGATAGTCAACAGATTTAGGTAAGTCATTAATATACACGTTGAAAAATAATGGACCAATCGCACTCCCTTGAGGAACTCCATATTTAACCGTGCGCGTTTCTGAATAATAATTTTCTTCAATATGCGATTTTGTATTAATTTGTGTAATGACAGTATACTGTTTTCTATTTACTAAATAACTTTCAATCAATTTCAGAATATTTCCTCTAATACCGTATGCGTCAAGTTTTTTTAATAAAATGTCATGATTTACGTAGTCAAAAGCTTGTGTCATATCACAATATATTGCAGAAATAGGGTTTCTTTTGTCCATATTAGTTATTATATTATTAAGAAATTCGAACAGGGCTTTGTTAATATTTTTATTTTGACGAAAACCATTTTGTTCTTTACACAAAATATTTTTACTTTCTAGATAGTTATAAATTTCTTTATAAATATATTTTTCGAAAACTTTTGATATTATTGAATTTATGGCAATCGGTCTATAGTTATTTATTAACAATGTATTTCCTTTTTTAAATAATGGTTTGATTATAGATGTTTTAAGTTGATCTGGATATATACCAGAACTAATGCTCACATTAATAATATGACTCAAATGACCACTTATCAAATCCCCCACTGACTTAACTATCTTAGTTGATATACCATCATGCCCTCGCTATTTGTATTTTTCAAATTTTTTATAATATTTAAAATTTCTTGAGGTATACTGGGTGCCATAAAAAATGAATCTCTTCTATTTTCTAATTTGGAGGATTTATATGATTTAGAAACCGATGTCGAAATTATTTTGTCAATGAAATAATTATTAAAAATATTGGCTATTTGTTCTGGATTCACAATAGTTTCGTGATTAGCATTAATTTCCAAAATATGATGTTTAGGAACATTAAGCCTGGTTTTATTTATAATAGACCAAGTAGATTTCGACTTATTTTCAGAATGTTTTATTAGAAAATCGTTCTGTGCTCGCTGTGTAAGTCGAATAATTTTTTTGTACAGTTTTTTGTATTTTACTAAAATGTCTTTATTTATGTTTGTTGGCTTGAGTCGATAATTCCAAAGAAGTCGTCTTTTTTTCTTACTGCATATTTTAATACCTTTGGAGACCCACTTGGGCTTCCTGATAACAGATATAGTGATTAGCTTACATGGAAAACAAAGGTCATAAAATAACTTAAAATAACTCATGAATGAGGAAAATGCAGTGTTTGGATCATCTGTGTCGTATATTTCTGAGAACGATAACTTCATGAGGCAATCCCTAAATTTTGTAATATTTTCGGCACTATAATCTCTACATTTTTTTCGCCAAAATTTCAATGCATGTACATTCTTCACAGAACAGGTCAATAGTTGAGCAGTATGATCGGATAAAGCTAATTCTATCACCTCCGTCCTGCACGCCTTTAGAAAGTTATGGGCAAAATTATCAATACATGTATGGCTTATCAATCTGGTTGGCTCTTTCAATGCCAATTTTAGATTATAATTAAGAAGAAGACATTCAAACTCTAAAGTAATATTGTTTTTTTTTAGTACGTCAATATTAAAATCACCTGCTATTATAATATTATCGAACTTTTTTCTACTCAGAAGGGATAATAATTGATCCATCTTAGAGAAAAATATGTTCATATAGGCCGTTTTAGGAACCCTATAAATGCATACTATTACAATCCTATAATGTAGCAGTTCCACCGCACAGCATTCGAATATGCCCGGCAATGAAAGCTCTGCTACCTTCGGTAATGCCTTCCATCGATGGCATTTTTGAATTAAAATACAAACTCCGCCCCGCTTAGAGTTTTCTCTACTGAAGTGTGAAGCTATCTGGTAATTGGGGACAGATAGGAAGTTCTCATAGCCAGCCATCATAAAGTGCTCCGTTACACATATCACGTCAATATTTTTATTTTATCAGACAGCTCCTCTAAACTTACAACAAGTGAATCAGACTTGTTTATTAATCCAGCTATATTTTGATGTAATATATTTAAAGGTATTTTAAAGGTATATGAATTTTTAGGAAAGAAAAAAATCTGAGTCACCTGTAACCGATTGAGTTTGCTTGGGCTCTCTCTCAGAAATTACATCTTTGCTACTGAAAATTTCAATGTCAAGAATTAAACTTTTAAGATTCTCAAATATATTTTTCATACCTATATTATTTAATTTACCATTACTCCTCGAAAACATAGCATAATCGTAAGTTAGTTTTAAATTTGAGTCCAATATATAAGCGTAGTTATTCGAAAATATGTCAAAACTTAATATATTATTAAATGTCTCAATTCTGGAATTAAACATATTAGAAAATTCTTTACATTTATATGTTGGGCACATAGTATAATATTAGTGTGATTTATCGTTTGTAATGTCTGTTGCAATTGTATAACAATATCAAAATAATTTAAAGTAGTCAAAAAATCTTCTTCGCCGATGAATATAATACAATAGTCCTCAAATGTGTAGTTTTTTAATTTATTTTTCAGGTTTTCAATCATTTTCAAAATCCCACATTTCGGTGTTAAATATGTATTATGTGACGATCTTGGAAAGAACTCTCTGCAATATCCAGGATACTGTTTTTATTATTGCTACTCAAAATACATATTTTTTTAGATAAGTTATTGCCACTCACGGCCTTATCATTACTTTTATGGGTTTCATTCTTCTTCTCTATTTTATCAGACGACTGTGGTGAAAAAAAATCTCTGTTTGCCCTTCTTGGAGTAGATGAAATATTTTTAGTTTTGAGATTTCGGCTGTTTGTGTCATCGGTACTCTTGGTTAACAGTTGACTTGCATCTTTTTCTTGTAAAGCGATTTTAAGTTGTTCGTTTACCAATGACAGATTGTTTATTTCTTGTTTCGCCGACGCTAGATCACTTTTAAGTTTGCATATCTCTTTTTTTAAGACTTGTATTAGTTCGGGTTCGCCACTCTCGCCATCTATTGAAATATTTGGTAAGCTATTTGCAGTGTCATCTAGTGTCAAATCGTTTATTATTTCACTTGGTGAAATCGATCTTCGTCTGCGGCAAGTTATGTTCTCAAAATCCATTTCGTTTATAATGAAAATTATTCTTTATTTAAAAAATATCCGGTCGCCGTTCGGGTTTCGAACTGACGACTTTTGGTGCTTGAGGTGAAGATTTAGCAACTGCGCTAAATTTCCTTAAGAATAGTTGACGAAATTTATCTACGCTTGATGTCTTGTATAACGTTTGTATTGAGTCCGTTAAATATGAACTATTTGAGCACGACTTATGTTATTAGATTACCTTATTTTTAAAATGTTATTTTTACAAAACTGTTTATGACGTGTTTAGTATTATTGAATATTTATTTATCAAAATGAAACCTTTTATCACTTGTATTTGTTATTTATGTTCTTTTGAATTCACTTTTCGCTCTCATTTTGCACTGATCACACTTTGGAAGGCTGTTGCACTTTATTCAATTTTATGACGTTATTACCGAATAAAAAGTTTTACAAACAATGAACAGAAGAAAATATTCTCACTTTTAAATAATTATTACTGTATTGGCTAGAAATTCCTTGTTTTTGCATTTATAAATAAACTTTTGTACGCAGTCAATGTTTACATGGCTAGCAGCGCCATCTGCTCTCCTCATTAATTATTATATATAGAACTGTTAAACTTATAATTATTTATGTCTGCTTATTATTAATTGTATTAATTTGTGATGCAAATAAATGAATTTATTATTATTATTAATTGTTTACCTGCATTTTGATTGCTGTGACTTACAGTATAAATACAAATAGTGTTATTTATATTAACAAAAATAGTACAGTATACGTACGATCCAGCAGCGTGCGATGATCGGAAGCATCGAAGCGCGCGGTGTTGATGGCCCCGCGCTGTATGTCGGAGTAGAACACGCGCGACTCCTCGTACCAGTACGACAGCGCGATCGCGTTGCGCATCAACTCCCTGCCGCCACACCACGCGACAACACAACAAACATTCATTACTCAATACTGATTACCGGCGAAAAATTACAATTCTCAACACTTGGCTATTTGTGTTTCCTGTTTGTTAACTGGTCATCGGTCTGTCCCTTTCGTTTCTTATAAAGCATGGTAAAGACAAACTGTTGTCAATTTGACAAATAACAAATTAAAATAGCCGAGTGAAGTGCTTTCAAATCTCTTTCAATCGTATGAAGTTTAAAAGGCATAGAGATTTTGGATAACATATGCAGAAAATAATACATAACATATTGAAACTAGATTATAACAATAAATATAAATAAAGCAAATTTTTTAGAAGAAAAAAACGTATAATGCGATTCAAATAAGAATAGTAAAGCCAATGACCTCTATCTGTCAAATGTCAACACACTAAAAAGAAAAGAAAAAATCCATAGCGTTGTAACAAACGTTTCACTTTAAAATGTAACTAAACCGTGTGAGTAACAATATTGCAGATACCATGTACCTTGTTTTTTATGAGTCTCCGATATTTGTTGCAAGCGCCATGATCACGGAGTAACTGAAGTAATTGCGGGTAGATATCATTGGCAGACATATCGGTCTACCCTCTGACGTCGTCTTATACCCTCGAGCGCAGTAAACAGTGCCGAAATTTTGGAAACTCATAAAAAACAAGGCACATGGTAACAATCCCGTTAATAGCTATAACGTTAGTGACCATGAAAATTTGAACAATTTAACATTGCAGTATCGCTCACTTGTCCTGTATGGGCGCGTAGGGGGAGTTGAGGTCGCGCGGGTCGTTGACGTGGATGCTGTCGATCCTGGTCACGCGGGAGTACATCACGAACGACTCGTACGCTGCTGGGAAAACACACGCATTTCAAAACAACCGGAGACATAAAGGGGCGAGGTAAAAAAACTTGTTTTTGAAAGTATATTAAAATATAGTTGCACATACTTTCCAGCTTTCCTATTAATCTAGAAATCTTATGCCTCTCTCATACCCCGCAAACTGTGACAAAACTTCGGGTGGCTTCGGGTACTAAATGCGCTAAATTAGAGTTCGAAATTTTTGCATGAATAGGGTATTTGACAGTGTTAAAAATAAAGTGCCAATCGTTAGCATCTGTGTTTAGAATGAATATTGGCAGGGGTTTTAACTATTTTACAATAAAAATATTCATTATTTTACTAAAAACTAACGAAAAAGATAATAGTTTTCTTATCTATTGTCACGTGACCCAAAACGCTTGGGATTGGCCGAGTCTAAAATGTCACACGCAAGTAAACCTCCGGTTAAAGTTTAAGCATTGTATCGTTTGACGTTTTAATAACAGTCGTGTGACGTCACACACTAGTACGACGCCATATTGTAGAGAGAAACGTTTTCGCGGCAACTTGAAAATGGAGTTTTTGATTTGGTTTTTTTTACTGATACACAACAGAACGATGAATATCCTCTTTTTACGGACTCCATAAACATTAATCAATAAAGTGAGATCGTTTTCTAAAACTTGTCAAATACCCTATTCTGTCGTAATTAATTTGCAGGCCGCGTACAGTGCTACAGTTTAGCTCGAGGGGCTTTAATAAGACACGCTAAAAGAGGTCGAGGAACACGATTATTTCCGTATGTGCAGCTGAAGAAGCGTAAAGCCACCGGAAACTTCGTCCCGCAGATGCGGGATAAGCATTACTGTATTGGAGGTTTGTAAGAAAATAAGCTCATCGTGGGAAGAATGGAGTGAAGTGAGTACTGACGCGTGCAGGTCTTGTTGTCGTCGGCCAGTCGTCCGTGTGCGCACACGCAGCGGTCCCACAGGCACAGCCCCGAGCAAGCGGCCGCGCCCGCGCCGGCGCAGTACGCGCCTGACGAGTCCAGCGGTATGCTGCCGGTGCCGGTCCCGGTCCCGTTCCCGGTCCCGGTGTCGGTGCCGGGGCCCACCTCCCGGGACGAGGACGAGTTCGATGACTGAAGGCTCTTGTTCGGCAATGTTTGCTCACTGCGAGACCACACCTGTGTCAAACGATAACGCATATTATAAATGCGATAGTGGCCGCTCTCGCTTTGCTACGCTGTTAACTTAAGTTTTTGTTCTATAGTCTATAGCGCTCCCAAATAACGTGACTTTAATTGGTAAAAGGATTTTCAACATCGGGTCAGTTTAATATTTGAGTGTGTGATCTACGATCGATACTGAAGCCAAAATAATAGTTTTTTAGAATTTTTGTCTGTTTGTCTGTATGTATGTTCGGGATAAACTCAAAAATGGGTTCACTTCACATTTGGCACGAATATAATTAAGAAGTCGGGTCAACATAATAGGTTACATGTACACGCTATCACCTCCGGGGAACGAGCAGTGAACCTTTATTTCTTCAACGCATTAACGCTATAACTCCACGCGTACGAAGTCGCGGGCGGCCGCTAGTTTTGAATATGGTATATAACTTCTGCCTCTCCTACCCTCCATAGTTTACAAACGAACGTGCGCACTTTCTAATATTCATGGTTCCATCACAAGCGACTGCGATGTTGGGTCCTTTATTATTACAATACTTACTTCGGATGTCTCTGTCACACATTTTTGCGCGCGTTAAAATTTAAATCTTTAAAATTCGCAAACCCCTAATAGGACCGTTTTTTTACAGACAACCCTATATCAACGTGTTCACAATAAATAAGTGAAAGTAACTGGCATCGACATACCTGTTTATACCTGACAACCCAGTAGTTCGCCCACTTAAATAATAGACAAACCAACGGCTGCACATTCTATACGTTTTATACTTTAAGTCAGGACAAAATTTTCTTATTTTCTTGATTTTTATTTTTAATAATTAAGAACACTCTGTTCTGGATTTTTTTAGCAAACCCATTTATAATATATTTCTAATATATGTTTCATTCTATTATCAGCTCGGTTAAGGTCGATTAACGTTCGGATCTTCTACTAAATGGAATATATTATACTAGTGAAACCTAATGAATAATGTATAGGCACTTAGTTTTCAATATTTTATTTACTATATGCAGGAATTCATTTAAATTATTATTTTTAACACTATCAAGATAACATAACACAATCAAATCTATCACTTGTTGATACATCATGTTAAATGCTTAATGTTCAATTATTATTTTTTGATAAATAAATGTTAAAATTATATATAACAACTAGCTGTCCCAGCTAAATTCGTACCGCCATAAAAAATAGGGGTTGGTGGTAGAAGGGTGAAAATTTAGGGTTGTATGTATTAAAAATATTTTTTTTTATCTAAAATTAAAAAAAAATGGGGTTGGATTACCCTTAACATTGAGGGGGATGAAAAATAGTTGTTGTCCGATTCTCAGACCTACCCAATATGCACACAAAATTTCATGAGAATCAGGAAAGCCCTTTCGGAGGAGTTTAACCACAAACACCGCGACACGAGAATTTTATATATTAGACTAGCAGACCCAGCGAACTTCGTACCGCCATACAAAAATAGGGGTTGGTGGTAGAAGGGCGAAAATTTTGGGTTATATTTATTTTTGTATGATGTATCATAAAAAAAATAAAAAAAAATATCTAAAAAAAAAGAAAGAAGAAAAGAAAAAAAAATTTAGGGGTGGATTCCCCTTAACATTTAGGGGGATGAAAAATAGAATATGCATATAAAATTGCACGAAAATCGGTCGAGCCGTTTTCGGAGGAGTTTAACCACAAACACCGCGACACGAGAATTTTATATATTAGATATAGGTACCTCAGCAAACGTGACTGCTGCAGCTATTCTTTTATTGTTGATGATGGGATATAAGCCGAGTTGCCAGGTATTAATAGCGGAAAATGTAACTCAACATGCAATTTAAAAAAGAAAATCGTATTCTAAGAAAAACAGTAGATTCGTGTAGAAAAACAGAAGAACAGGAGAATTTTTAGAAAAACAGGAGATCTGCTGTAAATGAGGAGACCTAGCAACACTAGATTTAACCCAAAAAATTTTTTTAGTTCCTTTTTTCACAATAGTTAAAGATATTTTTTTTTCATAATAGTTATTTGCACTCGGACATATTTTTTGTTTTGAAATTACCTTGGATGGATTTTAAATTGTGGATAATTTTGTCTCATTATAATTTTCTCTCTATACAGATTGTTTTAATTAATTTTATACATTGATAGGAACACTGTTTCATATTATACGGGAATGGGCGTTAATTCTGCAACACAGTTTTTGTAAAACTAAAGCAGTTTTAACGATTCATAATTTTATGTACATTGCACTTGTTCCAAATAAAGTTATTATTATTATATACTTAAAATTTAAATGTAAAAAATATTCACCAATATATCCTTGACGGTGGCGCCGACATTATCGGCCAGTACGCGGTAATCCGACAGATTGCTCAGCGGCGCCACTAGCACGCTGCCTTGATGCAGCACGCTGGACAAGATAACAAAGGTACGATTATAGCAGCTTTTCAAATTTGAGGAGCTCGATGGCGCAGGCGATTAGCGCGTTCGGTTGCGATCGTTAAGTTTAGGCAACTTTCGCAGTGGTCGGTCAGTGGATGGGTGACCAAATATCTTCTATCTTGAGTTCCTCCGTGCATCTGAAGGCACGTTAAGCCGTCGGTCCCAGCTGCATCTGCAGCGGTTAGCACCCGACAATTCACACTGGGCCTGCGTGGTGGGTCATGGATTGGCCAATCAGCAGTGGGGATATTAATAGGCTGATGATGATCATGATATTGTAGCGTGCGAGTAAACTAAACGCAGCACAGGATCATACGATGTATGACGCAGCGGTGGCCTGATCAGTGACGTCGCGTACGCAGACACACCTCCTGCAATATGGTCGCCGGCGCATCTTTTGTTTTGGCAGTGCAAGTAGCTACAACGCACATGAGACCACACCTCTCCGCAAGATGGACGCGCGCGCATCTATTGTTCATCGATGGGAGGCGCGTCTTCATCACTACGTCAAGCGCGAACCTTAATTATTATTAATAGTATTTTCTGTATAAAAGACGATTTCTTGTTGAATTGTACACATTCTGCTTTGCATTTCGCTTTGTGACTTAGTATTAAATTTTATAAATTGCCACTGCAGTTATCTTATTTAACCGACGCTTCCTGTGCTAAGCTTATTTCCGAAGTCAGCTTATTAATATAAAAGTACAAATAGTTACTTTACTATAATATCAACTATTCCAAATTGAAGCGCACGTCTGAGGAAATAACTTCCACCTTATAAAAGACCACAGTAAAATAACAATACCTTTTAGTGGTGTTGTGTTTCTGTCTCTGTCTGTGAGTAAGGTTCCAAGTTTCATGTTGTAGGGGATTGGGTTATGGTTATGGAAGGTAACGGCGCGAGTGACATTTTTGAAGTGAAAACTTCTTGAGCGGCGTTGTACACTTTTTTGTATGGGTAAAAAATGTTAGACTCGCGTCATGACACGTGGGCTGAACGCATCACATGCCACGTGTCCCGATCGTAAGACGAAAATAATAAAATGTTTTTTTTTCTAGTAAAATTCTTTAGATTTACACATTTAGCAGTTCGATGCTAAAAAAATACAAATATTTGTAGTTCACAGACAAACCCCGGCCCGGAGTAATCCGCCCTTCGACACGCCGCCCTCCCAGCTGTCCGCCCAGTATATGCGCTGCCTGTATACACTCCACATTAGTACGTTGGTCCACAATACGCACGTGTCCAGCCAGTAGAGCTTGCCGCGATGCACTGCGAGCGCGGCCACGTTGAGTCGCGCGCGGCTCACCCGCACCCGCCCCGCCCCGGAGTAATCCGCCCGAAACACGCCGCCCTCCCAGCTGTCCGCCCAGTATATGTGCTGCTTCTGTTCACATACGCACAAGTGAAAACAAATATCAAAATATTTATCTTACTTTTTTATATAAATGAATTGATAACTTTTAAAAACTGTTTAAAGAAAATTTAAAATAGCATCGAAATAACGCTATAATCAAGTTACAAGATTGTTATCGGCCAATCCGACGTCTATCCCGTAAAATCCTTTTTCTTCTTCTTAAAATTACATATAATTTTTTCTTTTGCCAGAGAAAACATAAACACGCGTGTGTAGTGTGTACATATACCTGCGTGTCTAGCGCGATGTCGGCGACCGCAGTGCCGTTGTACAGCAGCGCCCGCGAGCCGCCGTGCAGCCGCGCGCGCTGGATCCAGCCGCCCCCCGACATAAACACCCAGCCGCGGCCCGTCCGCGTGTGTAGTGTGTAGTGTGTAGTGTGTAGTGTGTACATATACCTGCGTGTCTAGCGCGATGTCGGCGACCGCAGTGCCGTTGTACAGCAGCGCCCGCGAGCCGCCGTGCAGCCGCGCGCGCTGGATCCAGCCGCCCCCCGACATAAACACCCAGCCGCGCGCCGCGTCCACGCACAACGCTGCCACACATACGTTAGCATTATACAATCATAACTCAACAATTCGGCTATACGTGTTGAATTAATATCCTATAGTTTATATCCTATACAACGTTTGAAAAATAGAAATTTAGAACAACTATTTCTGTAACCTAGCAAAAACCCCAGATTAATTAGAGGTGTCGAGCAACACGTAGGGCCGGGACCCGTCGAGGCGCACCGCCTCCCCCCTCCCCCCCCCCCCCCCTCACATACCAGAGACGGCAGCAGGCGAGGTGTCGAGCAGCACGTAGGACCGGGACCCGTCGAGGCGCGCCGCCTCCCCCCCCCCCCCCCCCCCTCACATACCAGAGACGGCAGCAGGCGAGGTGTCGAGCAGCACGTAGGGCCGGGACCCGTCGAGGCGCGCCGCCTCCCCCCCTCCCCCCCCCCCCCCACATACCAGAGACGGCAGCAGGCGAGGTGTCCAGCAGCACGTAGGGCCGGGACCCGTCGAGGCGCGCCCCCCCCCCCCCCCCCCCCCCCCCCTCAATACCAGAGACGGCAGCAGGCGAGGTGTCGAGCAGCACGTAGGGCCGGGACCCGTCGAGGCGCGCCGCCTCCCCCCTCCCCCCCCCCCCCCCCTCACATACCAGAGACGGCAGCAGGCGAGGTGTCGAGCAGCACGTAGGGCCGGGACCCGTCGAGGCGCGCCGCCTCCCCCCCCCCCCCCCCTCACATACCAGAGACGGCAGCAGGCGAGGTGTCGAGCAGCACGTAGGGCCGGGACCCGTCGAGGCGCGCCGCCTCCCCCCCTCCCCCCCCCCCCCCTCACATACCAGAGACGGCAGCAGGCGAGGTGTCCAGCAGCACGTAGGGCCGGGACCCGTCGAGGCGCGCCGCCTCCCCCCCCCCCCCCCCCCCCACATACCAGAGACGGCAGCAGGCGAGGTGTCCAGCAGCACGTAGGGCCGGGACCCGTCGAGGCGCGCCGCCTCCCCCCCTCCCCCCCCCCCCCCCCTCACATACCAGAGACGGCAGCAGGCGAGGTGTCGAGCAGCACGTAGGGCCGGGACCCGTCGAGGCGCGCCGCCTCCCCCCCCCCCCCCCCCCTCACATACCAGAGACGGCAGCAGGCGAGGTGTCGAGCAGCACGTAGGGCCGGGACCCGTCGAGGCGCGCCGCCTCCCCCCCTCCCCCCCCCCTCACATACCAGAGACGGCAGCAGGCGAGGTGTCGAGCAGCACGTAGGGCCGGGACCCGTCGAGGCGCGCCGCCTCCCCCCCCCCCCCCCCCCCCTCACATACCAGAGACGGCAGCAGGCGAGGTGTCCAGCAGCACGTAGGGCCGGGACCCGTCGAGGGCGCGCCGCCCCCCCCCCCCCCCCCCCCTCACATACAGAGACGGCAGCAGGCGAGGTGTCCAGCAGCACGTAGGGCCGGGACCCGTCGAGGCGCGCCGCCTCCCCCCCCCCCCCCCCCCCCCCCCTCACATACCAGAGACGGCAGCAGGCGAGGTGTCGAGCAGCACGTAGGGCCGGGACCCGTCGAGGCGCGCCGCCTCCCCCCCTCCCCCCCCCCCTCACATACCAGAGACGGCAGCAGGCGAGGTGTCCAGCAGCACGTAGGGCCGGGACCCGTCGAGGCGCGCCGCCGCCCCCCCCCCCCCCTCCTACCCCCCCCCCCCCCCCCCCCCCCCCCCCCCCCCCCCCCCCCACATACCAGAGACGGCAGCAGGCGAGGTGTCCAGCAGCACGTAGGGCCGGGACCCGTCGAGGCGCGCCGCCCCTCCCCCCCTCCCCCCCCCCCCCCCCCCCCCCCCCCCCTCACATACCAGAGACGGCAGCAGGCGAGGTGTCCAGCAGCACGTAGGGCCGGGACCCGTCGAGGCGCGCCGCCTCCACGACGCCGCGCCGCGGGTCCGCCCATAGAATGTTGCCGCCCACCCAGTCCACCGCGATACCTGTGTCATCATATATTCATTTTTAATAACCAATAAAGGACAATGGGCAAAATTGCATGGACACTGCACCCACGTCCGCCACGGCTTAAACTACATTTGTTTGAAAGGTATCATAGTCATGATCATTTGTGCCAAAGCGCATCAAATTCCATCCCGGGAGTCTTTAGTTATTTTAAGTTAAACAGGTACAATTCCATAGGTAAAAGTAACTATAACGAACATAATATTTTAAGATACAAGGACGAGTATATAGAACGGATATATTAATTGACGACCACGGAGGTCGTCAATTAATATATCCGAGTCGAGTGGTTTGTACGCCGGGTTTCATGGTGTCGCTGGCTCGAGAGGTCCCGGGTTCGAATCCTGGTGGGGGCAGATGTTTGTGTGCTGAGTACGAGCATTTAAATTGATCCATAGATTTTTTATTAGCTCGTACGATTATAATGACGTACGCGATGATAATCGTGTTCCTATTTCTAAAGCGTGTTAGTTAAATATCAATGAAATAACAGGTAGCGCACAAAATGTAAGACATAGGACTGCATACGAGTAGACTAGTTGCAACGGCAACTGCAATATCACATCCTTCAACCCCCATACCCTGTTAGGCGTTTTGAGGAGTCTCAGTAAGTGCAAGCAGCAAGCAAGCAGGATAGTCGGTAGGCTTTGTTGTTTAGTATTTTGTATCTGGTTGTACAGTAAGATATGATTCACTCACTTATTATTGCTAATATTATAAAACGAAAGTACTATTGATATTGAATGAATTTCTTTAGCTATTTAAATATCACCATCATCAGCCTATTAATGTCCCCACTGCTGGGGCACAGGCCTTCCCTATGGATGAAATAGGGAGATTGGGCCATGACCCACCACGCGGGCCCAATGCGGATTGGCGGGTGCTAACGACTGCAGATGCAGCCGGGACCAACGGCTTAACGTGCCTTCCGAAGCACGGAGGAACTCGAGATAGATGTTTTTGGTCACCCATCCAATGACCGACCACTGCGGAAGTTGCTTAACTTCAACGATCGCAACCGAACGCGCTAACCACCTGCGCCATCGAGCTTCTCTATAAGGAGCTATTTAAATATGCCCGTGTGTAACCGGTCCCCATGACTTACACACAAAGGTCGTCTATAAGGACTATGTGCGGAAACCTTAACCCCTAATATAGAACATACCCAGGTGTATATCTTTTGACCCCCAGGTTATATTTTTTTGGTGCCATAATAAAAAAGGCTAGTTTTTCATAGATCTATCGATTCATACTAATTACATTGATGGCGGAGCTGGGTGCGATTTGCCCATTGTCCTTTAATGTTGCAATAACGGGTACAAATATTCCATTTGTATGATTCCGTTGCCTGCGCTGGGTAAATTGTTAAAATCACATAAAAACCATGTATGACGGATTTGTATCCCTTTAAAAGCTGATTAAAAAAGGCCGGGACAACATATGTCCTGCCGGCCGGCCCCGTCCCGCTGGCCGCCCCCCCCCCCCCCGGCCCCCCTCACCCGCTATCAGGTCGTACACCTGGTCGCCGCCCTGGTGCCGCAGCCCCAGCTGCCGGCCGGCCCCGTCCCGCTGGCCGCCCCCCCCCCCCCCCGCCCCCCCTCACCCGCTATCAGGTCGTACACCTGGTCGCCGCCCTGGTGCCGCAGCCCCAGCTGCCGGCCGGCCCCGTCCCGCTGGCCGCCCCCCCCCCCCCCCCCCCCCCCCCCCCCGCTACCAGGTCGAACACCTGGTCGCCGCCCTGGTGCCGCAGCCCCAGCTGCCGGCCGGCCCCGTCCCGCTGCCCCCACCCCCCCCCCGCCCCCCCTCACCCGCTATCAGGTCGTACACCTGGTCGCCGCCCTGGTGCCGCAGCCCGAGCTGCCGGCCGGCCCCGTCCCGCTGGCCGCCCCCCCCCCCGCCCCCCCTCACCCGCTATCAGGTCGTACACCTGGTCGCCGCCCTGGTGCCGCAGCCCCAGCTGCCGGCCGGCCCCGTCCCGCTGCCCCCCCCCCCCCCCCCCGCCCCCCCTCACCCGCTATCAGGTCGTACACCTGGTCGCCGCCCTGGTGCCGCAGCCCCAGCTGCCGGCCGGCCCCGTCCCGCTGGCCGCCCCCCCCCCCCGCCCCCCCTCACCCGCTATCAGGTCGTACACCTGGTCGCCGCCCTGGTGCCGCAGCCCCAGCTGCCGGCCGGCCCCGTCCCGCTGCCCCCACCCCCCCCCCCCCGCCCCCCCTCACCCGCTATCAGGTCGTACACCTGGTCGCCGCCCTGGTGCCGCAGCCCCAGCTGCCGGCCGGCCCCGTCCCGCTGCCCCCACCCCCCCCCCCCGCCCCCCTCACCCGCTATCAGGTCGTACACCTGGTCGCCGCCCTGGTGCCGCAGCCCCAGCTGCCGGCCGGCCCCGTCCCGCTGCCCCCACCCCCCCCCCGCCCCCCTCACCCGCTATCAGGTCGTACACCTGGTCGCCGCCCTGGTGCCGCAGCCCCAGCTGCCGGCCGGCCCCGTCCCGCTGCCCCCCCCCGCCCGCCCGCCCTCACCCGCTATCAGGTCGTACACCTGGTCGCCGCCCTGGTGCCGCAGCCCCAGCTGCCGGCCGGCCCCGTCCCGCTGCCCCCCCCCCGCCCGCCCCCCTGCCCCCCCTCACCCGCTATCAGGTCGTACACCTGGTCGCCGCCCTGGTGCCGCAGCCCCAGCTGCCGGCCGGCCCCGTCCCGCTGCCCCCCCCCGCCCGCCCCCCTGCCCCCCCTCACCCGCTATCAGGTCGTACACCTGGTCGCCGCCCTGGTGCCGCAGCCCCAGCTGCCGGCCGGCCCCGTCCCGCTGCCCCCCCCCCGCCCGCCCCCCTGCCCCCCCTCACCCGCTATCAGGTCGTACACCTGGTCGCCGCCCTGGTGCCGCAGCCCCAGCTGCCGGCCGGCCCCGTCCGCTGCCCCCCCCCCCGCCCCGCCCGCCCCCCTGCCCCCCCTCACCCGCTATCAGGTCGTACACCTGGTCGCCGCCCTGGTGCCGCAGCCCCCCCCGCCGGCCGGCCCCGTCCCGCTGCCCCCCCCCCGCCCGCCCCCCTGCCCCCCCTCACCCGCTATCAGGTCGTACACCTGGTCGCCGCCCTGGTGCGCAGCCCCAGCTGCCGGCCGGCCCCGTCCCGCTGGCCGCCCCCCCCCCCCCGCCCCCCCTCACCCGCTATCAGGTCGTACACCTGGTCGCCGCCCTGGTGCCGCAGCCCCAGCTGCCGGCCGGCCCCGTCCCGCTGCCCCCCCCCCCCCCCCCCCCCCCTGCCCCCCCTCACCCGCTATCAGGTCGTACACCTGGTCGCCGCCCTGGTGCCGCAGCCCCCCCCGCCGGCCGGCCCCGTCCCGCTGCCCCCCCCCGCCCGCCCCCCTGCCCCCCTCACCCGCTATCAGGTCGTACACCTGGTCGCCGCCCTGGTGCTGCAGCACCAGCTGCCGGCCGGTGCCGTCCCGCTGCACGCGCCACAGCCGCCCCGCCTCACCGTCCGCCCAGTACAACCAACCGCCCTCTGTTGAAAATATCACTCAAAATGTTTCAAATGCAAAAATATGGTAAGAGCAAGCGCACATTGAGCTACTTATCGCGGCCCCTGCTGGCTTCTAAGCCGTCGCTGCCGGCTCTAGACGACCACTGCATTTCTATCGATTCTATCAGTGGCTGCGTCTAGTGGGTCGACTCGGCCCCTAGAGGTGACGTTTAGTTGCTCAATGAGCTCTTGCTCTGATTAAGCTGCAACCTAACCACCAAAAGGTAAGTCGAGCATTCGATACTCAGAAAAGAAACTAAAGCATAGGAGTTCAAATTCAACTCATACCGCCTTTTAACAAAGCGTAGACCAAAGTTAGTCCTGAACTAAAACTGATACTGTCACGTTTGTTTGCTGCGAAGAGGTCAGAGACTACATTAGGTTTAAAGTTTAAACCAAAACTAACATTAGTCCGCATTTAGCAATAAGGCGGTAAATGTTTAGAGGAATCAATAGTGTCCATCCTCTTGATGCGTGGCTATCCAGAACCTTGAGATTTTATCAATTGGTTTAGCATGTGCGACAAAACTATGGAAAACATTGTCACAAACAGTATTTACGGAACTTAAAGGCCAGCTTCGCATTTGTGATACTCCTCGTGTTGCAGGTGCCTATGAGTGATGGTCATCACTAATCATCAGGAGAGCAATCAGCTCGTATATCAAATATAGATTTACAACTGATGCTCAAAATGCTAAAGTATGGTAAGGCTGTAACCTAACCGCAAGAAAGTAAGTCTAGCGTTCGATGCGAGTTAAAGAACGTTATAAAGGAAAGTCACGCGGTGCCACAACACCCAGTGACGCGGAAGCTAGACGAAACAACTAAAAATTGTAGCCTATATATTGAAGCAAAACCATCACAAAATATTACAAGACAAAAAAATTGCCGAGAATATTTTTGAAATACTCTGGAACAGTAGCACTCTTTTACAATTTTCCTTACTGAGTCACTAGTATTATTTTTTTACAATATCAAGATATAAAGTAATGTTAAATTCCGAAATTGTTTACATACATACATGTGAATTTTATTTTTGAAGTTATACTTCTTTAGGCGCGTTATGAAAAAATGATGAGAGTGAAATTTTAAGATGCGCGCGCATCACTGTAACACAAAAATTAACAGTTACTTTTGTGTTTACCGCACATTAAGAAAATCTATCAACAAAATAGAAGTAGAATCTCTATTTAGTGGGTGCTAACGACTGCATTGTGAAGGCCTATCAAAAGTATTTATTAATCTGGAACAACGGAACCAAAGCGCGATTCAGGAGACTACAGCGCCATCTCTTGACCATTGGTGTAGTAGAACCAAAAACCACATCTTTATTTTTTGTAATAAAGTAACAGTTATAGGTATTCATATTTATAATATTTATCCACATGTTTCTAGTTTGTATATTCGGAATATGTGTTTGAGTTTCATACAAGTGCAAATCACATATGTTCTAATAAATTATATCCAGTAGCGATTTTAATTGAATATTTTGATTATTTATTTATTTTTTCAAATTAAAACTGAACTTTATTGACTGTGTCCTTTTCCAGACTTTTTATTAATTTATTGTAATTAATTATTTGCATGCAATTAAAAACTAATTTTAAACGATGTCAAAGAAGGATAACTTCTCACGCGCCTACATAAGTACACGCACCCATTTTTTTTAATTACCTAATGCTTATCGCGCTCTTTTCAGACTCAGGAAACGTAAACTACAACTCAATGTTCGTTGTTGTTCTGGGAGCTGTCCGTAAGAAACTTTACCGTACCTGCGTGGTAGTCAATAGCGCTGGCCATAGTCAACTGCGGGATGGGCGGCAGCAGTGAGTCGACTGCGTCGTCGTCTTCCTCCTGTCCGGACTCGTCCCGCCCCCCCTCCCCCCTCCCCCTCCCCCTGCTCGTCCCCGGCCCCGTCCCCGGCCCCCTCTACGGTGACGTTGGCGGCAGCGTCCGGATCGGCGGCCACACCTCGCACCTCCCAGCTTAGTGAGTATATCACCACCTCGTCTATAGCTGTTTACAAAGGGGAGACCTTCGATTTCTGTCAATTCTTATAACTCAAGCATGATCATGCATTTAGGTGTTGAAAAATACGCAGTTTATTAAAATATAAAAGGGATATATTATCCATTTGTGCCATATAAAAAAGTTGTTTAAACATTTAAATTAACGGCAACATAAATTATATGTGGCTGATATGAGAAACATCCCCACTGCTGCGGCGTAAGTCTACAATATAGAGAAAATAGATTATCATCCTTCACTACCACATGGCAAATAAATATAATAAAATCATATATATCTTTAGAAATAAGTAAATAAAATTGGTAGCAACCGGCCACAAATTAGATGGTAAGGCTCGCGGCTATATAGTAATAATTGATAAAACCAATGTCTATAAAATCTACATGAAGTGAACCATCATACCTTAATTAACAGTAGATCACAAATATCACTCGGAGAAAATAATAATCAACATAGTTAGCGCTGAAACTTTTTACATTTTTAGTTTGCTAACAACTGTTATTTCTTTCTGAAATCAACTGTTAAAGGCCGCAGCAGATATATACTCTGTATAAAATTCCTTACAGTGAAGCACACTAATCGAAATCGTAACGTAATCGCCTCGTCTCGGGATAAGTTCATAACCCGAAGCGAAGGCGATTACGTTGTGATATGTCTGCTGTGTGCGTATTTTCATTTTTGGTTTTTTTTGTACCCCACCTGATGTTAAGTGGTGATAAAGTCCAAAAGCGAAGTATGTACATATAATCGTGTATGCTTTATACATACGTATGCATTGATTCCCTCGAAGCGTGTAGCCGAGTGCGCAGCGACAGACGGAGGCGGTGAGTGAGAGGGGCAGACAGAGATGGCTGCAGGGCGCCGCGCGCAGTGCGCACGCGCCCATACTCGTGTTCTGTGACGCGGGCTCGTATACTAGCAAGGATAGCACGCCCTCTGCAATATGATCGCTGCGTGAGCTTCTATCATTCGTGGCATACAATCGAGCAAATATTTTATTTAATTTTTCAATGTGTTGGCAAAGTTTTTTAGAATAAACAAGTGAATAAATAAATAGTACTTACACAATGTGTATGTAATAATAATAATAATCTTTATTTCTTCTTCCACAATCTACAAATTCCATGAAAACTTATTATACTTTAATTCTTATATAAAAACAGTAAATAGATTGTGAGAGACTGGTGCCTGAACTAGGCAGAACGCCTGTATCTCAGAGTACCAGGACTCTCCCTCCCCTGGAGAATGTACATTGATCAAATTATAAGGTCATTGATCTTACATATTAAATTATAGGTATAGGAAGAAAAGAAAAACATCTTAAATTACAAAAGTTACACGACTACGCTTAAAATAAGAATAAGTACCTACAAGCTTTGATTAATATCAAAGCCTACAAGTAACAACTTGCCTTAATTTTTAACTGTAACAAGTGTGTAAGCATATTTGGTACTTCAAAATTTGAAAGAATGAGAGAGATTTATAAGGTTAGGCTTATTTATCTATGGAAATACAATAAATTCTCAGTTTCTATGTATGTTTGAGTACGTAAAAATTGAGTAACAAAGATTTTACAATATCTGTTTGTGTAGTGGACAATGTTTAATTTTGAGTGGAGCAGATTATAGCAGTATGGGCCCAGAAAATAAAAGAAACGGTGTGCAAAAGTAGTTCTGCACCGAGGTGTGACAGCTACAAGATGATTACGCTGAGCAGAGTGCAGGGAGGGATCCACCGCGCTGTGTTGTTTAAGAACAGTATTAAGTATAAACAACTGTCGGACGTTTAAAACTTGGCACATTTGATAAAGTTCTGTAGTTGGGAATAAAATAGGTTTCTTAATACATATTTTAAGTACGGCTCTTTGCGCACGTTCAAGCTTTATTAAGATCGATTTAGAGGTACCTCCCCATGAGGTAATGCAGTATGTTACGATGGATTCACAAAGGGATTTATACACCGATAGGACCAGACTCAAATCAGCTATATGACGGAGATTTTTGAAGACGTACATTAGTTTGCGTAATCTACCTGCAATGAGATCCACATGGGCAAGGAACGTTAGCTTGGAATCCACAGCGACACCCAAGTATTTAACAGTCTCACATGCCTCCAACGTGACTGAAAGTCTCCTTCCATGAGCCAGATGAAAAAATCAGTACGGTGTCATCAGCATAAGAGATGATCTTGCAGTTGGGAATTTGAAGAGAAGACAGATCATTGATATGTGAATTCGACTAAGATAATGTTTAACGGAAATCCCTACCAATCCCATGATAGTCGATGTTGATGGCATTTGGTCGCATCGCAGTTTGCGTGGAACAACTTTTATAGCGCAGTTCGTATTGCATATTATTTCTAAATCGTTGCGAGAGTGTATGGTGTAATGGTACATTACCGGCGTGCGGTGCAGCGAGCAGACTGCGCGGGTTATCACAGTTGGGCGGGCGGCACGCTCGCAGGGCGGAGGAGGCGGAGTCCGCCCACACCAGCTCACCGCGGTGCAGCGCCAGCGCTGAAGGACGCGAGCCCCAGCCCGTCTCCACCTGTACCAAATTTACCAACAATGGTATGTATGTCTACAGTGCGCGGAAAATTACCCCTTCATCCGATTCAGTGTAAGAACAGGGAGAAAATAGCTGTTGTTGAGTTTCTTGACGGTTTTTCTCAATACAAAGCCTCTTGGCGTAGATTGAAAAATCAGTGGCATGAATTTTCAACTTTCATTACTATTTATGTAACAGCCAAAACAAAATAAACGACAATAAGTATATATTTACATAAAAAAAACGACGGGTTGCACTCCAGGAGTGTCGGCAGAAGTGAAAACTTGAATATTGACGTTGTACATTTTTATTATTTTCGAATGATTAGAAAATAATTTTGCACGAATTGCTTTACTTATCAGTATAAAAGTACTATCATTTATGTGGTAGAATACAATATTTATATATTGAACTATCGTACAGAAACCTGACAATTTATATTACATTAAAAAGTTTATCTCTCAGAAAAATCAACATACATGAATCACATTTAAGCGCACCTAGCGACATCTATTGTTGAAAAAGTGTACTTACAAATTTTCGATCAAGCCACGTGTCCTGACGCGATCAGGCCACATGTCCTGACGCGAGTTTGACATTTTTTACACATTACAAAAAGGTGTACAAACCGCTAAAGAAGTTTTCACTTAAAAAAAAACCTTTATTGAAGCTCAATTTAAAGTTTAAGTTTCAAATTTCTAATTACGAAGATAGCTGATACAGTAAAAAAATTACATATCCAGTCACTTAAATCACTGTATTATATATATATAATCACTGTACTGTATTGATCACATATGATAATTTTACAGCAAACTTTGAACTGTATTATGCTTCCGATATGAATAAAGAAATTTAATCTTACCCAACTTAATAAAGTTTCTCTGATAAAAGTAACTAATACTTCGGTTATTAATAAAACGGGGTATGTGTTTGTTACTCTTATCAGAGAAACTACATAAATTTTAAATGTCAAGTATTATTTGAACTCACCGTGGTAATGTTAGCGTTAGTATGGTTGAGGTCGAGGTACTGGATGGTGGCAGAACCGCTGTTAAGCCAGTACAGACGGTTGTTTTCCAGGTCAATGTTCATGTCTGCAACATGGTGTAGCGTCATTGACAGCCATTCGAGCAGTTATCAGACTGCTCATTCATAAACTCAACTTCAATAATAATAATTTGGTTAAACAAAGTTTAACGGATGATAAATAAAATTATTTATTCTTCTTTTAGGTAGTTTATCAAAAAGTATTGGACACATTGGTACGTATTTTGTCTTTTTAGACATAATCAAAACATAACACAGATATATTGATTAGAAATGTCTCATGACAGTAGGCGTAGGCGTGCTGCTTGACCTGCAACAACACGCGCCGGTTGGTTCCGTCGCCGTCAGATAATTGCAGTGAGTGTGTGTATACTGACTAGAGACCCCCGCCAGGTAGGCGTGCTGCTTGGAGTGTGTGTATACTGACTAGAGACCCCCGCCAGGTAGGCGTGCTGCTTGGAGTGTGTGTATACTGACTAGAGACCCCCGCCAGGTAGGCGTGCCGCTTGGAGTGTGTGTATACTGACTAGAGACCCCCGCCAGGTAGGCGTGCCGCTTGGAGTGTGTGTATACTGACTAGAGACCCCCGCCAGGTAGGCGTGCTGCTTGGAGTGTGTGTATACTGACTAGAGACCCCCGCCAGGTAGGCGTGCTGCTTGGAGTGTGTGTATACTGACTAGAGACCCCCGCCAGGTAGGCGTGCCGCTTGGAGTGTGTGTATACTGACTAGAGACCCCCGCCAGGTAGGCGTGCCGCTTGGAGTGTGTGTATACTGACTAGAGACCCCCGCCAGGTAGGCGTGCCGCTTGGAGTGTGTGTATACTGACTAGAGACCCCCGCCAGGTAGGCGTGCCGCTTGGAGTGTGTGTATACTGACTAGAGACCCCCGCCAGGTAGGCGTGCCGCTTGGAGTGTGTGTATACTGACTAGAGACCCCCGCCAGGTAGGCGTGCCGCTTGGAGTGTGTGTATACTGACTAGAGACCCCCGCCAGGTAGGCGTGCCGCTTGGAGTGTGTGTATACTGACTAGAGACCCCCGCCAGGTAGGCGTGCTGCTTGGAGTGTGTGTATACTGACTAGAGACCCCCGCCAGGTAGGCGTGCCGCTTGGAGTGTGTGTATACTGACTAGAGACCCCCGCCAGGTAGGCGTGCCGCTTGGAGTGTGTGTATACTGACTAGAGACCCCCGCCAGGTAGGCGTGCCGCTTGGAGTGTGTGTATACTGACTAGAGACCCCCGCCAGGTAGGCGTGCCGCTTGGAGTGTGTGTATACTGACTAGAGACCCCCGCCAGGTAGGCGTGCCGCTTGGAGTGTGTGTATACTGACTAGAGACCCCCGCCAGGTAGGCGTGCCGCTTGGAGTGTGTGTATACTGACTAGAGACCCCCGCCAGGTAGGCGTGCTGCTTGGAGTGTGTGTATACTGACTAGAGACCCCCGCCAGGTAGGCGTGCCGCTTGGAGTGTGTGTATACTGACTAGAGACCCCCGCCAGGTAGGCGTGCTGCTTGGCCCGCAACAACACGCGCCGATTGGTTCCGTCGCCGTCCGCGCGCTCGATGCGCTCGCCGTCCTTTCCGCGCATCGCCCAGTACAACGTGCCCCTAAAGCGGACACAATATATCGGTTAACACAGCGTTTATTTATTTCTTATTGAAGTGAAACTTTTATATAGACGGGGGTATTAGGATTTTACTGTCGCGAAAAAGCGTTACAGCCGAGTGGAGGGGGTAGACGACGCGGTGTGTGGCGGAGAAAGAGAGAAAGGCTTGCGGCGGATTTCCACTTTTTTACATTGTCAACACAAAGATAAACATATAAAGACAATTATCCTATTTTTATTTATTTATTTATCATCAACAAGTTTCAACAGCGTTTTACACAATATAATCTAATATAAAATTTTAAACGGTACTTTAGCCAATTACAGAAACTCACTTTGTATTCAATTCAAAAATTAAAATGATAACGTAGGGTAGAAATTACAAATTAACAATAATATAAAAGAAATACCAACAAAGATTCAAATTAATTTTGCGATAAATATAAATACCTATATAAATCAGAATTATAAAAGGAGCATGATAACTTTGTGTAAATGAGTGTGTACGTAAGTGTTTGGTGTAGCGTGTGTGTGTGTGTGTGTGAGTGTGCATGCCTTCCGTTAAAAAAAAAATAATCATATCGAAACGAGCCGACAAAAACAGCGAAATGCATGAGCCGGAGCCAGTGCGCGTAGTCGGTTGTGCACATTGCGTAGGTAGGTATCTTATAACATTTTTCGCATGGTTT